ATATGTGTCCTGTAACAAACAGTTAGGTTTATCTACCCTATTGCATTCTCAACCTTTATAAAAATGTACACTTAAATTCTAACAATGATTAAACAGGGTAAAATAAATACATACATTTATGCATTTCTTGGTTGTAGCTGTAAACTGTTCCTTACATTCTATGTTGCTATGCACCCAAATTCAAGTCACATAATGTTCCCTGACTGCAGACATATCACTACATCTGCATCGGATATTAAATGACCAAGTCTGCATTCTTTACAAATATGCTCATAAGGGGTTGTTTTACTCTTTGAATAAACCATACATGTCCCTTAGTTAAGTAAAGATAGCAGGCAGTAAAAGGAGAAAAGATGTACTTCTGTGTTATAGATCTGTAAAAATATGGTCAGTCTACAAAGTGTACCCTGAGGTGCGAGGCCCAATTCAAGCCACCTAGTCTACAGGTGCTCTTATACCCCGTTCACACTACACTCAGTTATCCGGATAAGTTGCGAATTAGGTCACAATTCGAATAAATGCAGTAGTGTGAACGCAAGAGGATTTTGAAAATGCGCATTTTCAAAATCCTGCAAGCGAGGTGGATTTCTAAGCGCGATCCGGATAACTTACCGGAATCGACACCTGTACAGATCTTACTGCGCATGTGTGCAGATAAGTGCGGATATCTATGAACACTGGTTTATTACTTTAGCGATTGCACCAAACGTATTTGGCGGTCACCACTCACTACAACATGAGGAAACAAACTTATTTTGCCACCTAATACTTCTCAAGAATGCTGGAATGTCTTTTGAGTTGCATTTGTCGTCACAAATTTTTGTTGATATTTTAAGATTTCCTGTGCGGCGCATGCGCGAGTGTTCAAAACAAGAAGTTTAACCTGAAATTTTCAACGTGGGATTCGGATTCGCTTAGCGAGTGTGAACGCAATACCGAATCGGATTCCTTACGAAAAATCCGAATTATAGAAATGCGCATTTTGGCAACTGTAGTGTGAACGGGGTATTAGATTCACACATCGTACTAGCTGGGTCGGTCCAACTCTTCTGGGTATTCTCATTAAAGTGCAATCAGTGGAATCACCTTATTTAGCACACAATAGTTAATTACACCCTAGTTGTTCAAGGAGGCATGTCAGACAATTAAGCCGATTCCACCGTTTGCACCTAAGCAAGAATCCCCCTGTAGAGTTGGGCTGACCCAGCTACTATGATATGTGAATCTGAATGTGGTCTATGTTAAAAACCTTCCACAATTTTGCCCACATATACAGACCCTGACCTTTACTGGTACTAATGAGGGTATGTGTATTAACTAGCTAACATCAACAGCAACAAGACAATCCCTTTGTTAGAAATATCTCTTGAAAGACAATGGAAAAAACTGTGAATAAAATCCACTGTTAATATTTCTGTGCATATAGTAATGTTTAGAATATTTTTCTCTTGAAAACCCATGCCTATTATATTTGTTTACAGATTTTGTTTACAGTATGTGCATGTGGAACTGAATAAAATATTGAGTGTGTATGCAGTGAACATATACAGAATGTAAAATGCAGAGCATCAACTGCCTGCCCATTCAATAACTGATGTATAAGTAATGCTTTTTCATGTAACAGTTTGTCATTTCTATCATCAACCTTCTGTCATGAATCATAAGGCCTATTGATTGATTACTGATTATGTGCCTATTTGCACTCAATTCATAGGTGAAAACAGTGTGTTGGTGGGGTATTTTTGCAAAAAAGATTAATTTATCTTTTAAGAAAAATGTGCATATTTGTATGGTATCAATACAAATATATGAAAGAATGGGTAGGCTAAGTTGGGTCAGTGTACAAAAAAACATATAATTGTGAAACTTCTTTTTAGTTACACAATAAATAAGTTAAGATTCAAAAATAACATTCCTAGAAGCCAAAACCAAGGATATGAATGCAATATATGCATTAGCACCACTTTGCGCTTGCTTCAATTATTATGATCCATTAAATGCCATATAACATGATTGCCTATTAAAAAAGGCAAGTCACAAGTGAGTCTTATGAGAGAAATTATTTCTACCAATTTATTATACTGATTGCATTAGATCAGCTTATCTACCTATTTTAATAAATTCTTTCTTCTCTCATATCTAATACAGGCAAGATTCATTGGACATGATTATTTAAAACCAATTTCAATCCTTATTATAGTTTGCATCCACACTTTTTACTCCAAGAATATTTATTAATATAGGTTCAGTTCTTCAAAGCATATTGTTATGATACAAAACCATATACTATACTATTGTAGAGTTGCCTAGCATGTTTATCCTACCAGCATTTCCCGCTGGACATCTAATATGCTTAAATGTATATAAATACAATAAAGGTATCAACAGCAGACCTTAACATCTTTCTGCTTGTACAAATGTTTCCAAAACACTAAGAGAGTACATAACATATTACTGGCATGAAATATTTCATTAAACAAATTTTGATTCCACTTTCAAGAATTTTTCTTTAATGTCATATGCCAAAGTCACCTTGTTCCTTTTCGTTAAATATGTTCCACTTGAATTCCCTAAACTCAGTCTATGTGATTCTCTGTGAATCATCTGTAATACCAAAGAGTTCCTTTGAAATAAAGGTAAAAACTGTAAAACATGGCATAATTAAGTACTAGTTTATGCAATGGCTATCAATCATAGAACGTCTCGTTCACAAAGGATCTGCATATTTCTATTTGAATTTCAATGTCTAGTCATGAGATTAATTTTATCTATTATCTTATATCTTACAATTTTAAAGTGTTCACAATGAAAAGGCATTGATTTAAATCAATGATTCGAACCATTGGTTCTTCCTTAAACTAAAGTGCCAGTAATAAAGGGCTAGATGACTTTATCAATATTAATTTTATCAACATATCAAATTTCGACTTTGAGAAGGAAGTTTAGGCCATTTTTCCTTTCAAAAGAACATTACAAAACAACTTTGAATGTGAATGTGTGTGTTTGTTTTCAAATTTGTACACATAGATATATCAAGACTACCTATAATGGAAATCATCCAAAAAGGCCTAAAAAATGGTTTCAATTATCAGTGTGTGACTTCATATTGGAAATTTGAAAATATGCGTGAATCTGAATGAGGTTGTGTTAACTTGGAATTAAAGCTGAACCTATACACAATGAATGTCTTCTTAGAAGGTAAAAAAGTGATGCCCAAAACATGGTGAATTCTATCTTGCAACAGACTGTAATCTGACAGAATTTAAGAGAAAACAACTCAAAAATATCCATGAATAAATGCTAGTCTGCCACTTCTTGACCCTTTGAGGAATCTTCCTCAATTTGCCATAAGAGCTGATGATTTTCATTCTCATCATGTATTACTGCTGAAAACAATTATCATTTAATATGCAAACGTTTCGGGATGATCGATAGCAAACAAAAACATAAAAAGTTTAATGCCGTCCATATATGAAGTGGAAAATGCTTCCCATTTATATAAAATCAACAATTAATTACATGCTGTATTGTGCTATAGGGCCATACATATTTCAAATGATTAAAGTTATTAGACTGGTATCAAATTAAGAACAGGGGTGTATATATCATATGTATATATGGTATTAAAACCTGCACCGAATCTTCTATTTACACTTTCTGATACCAGTCAAATACAAAATGGTGAACGGGAGTGCACATAAATTCCACGCTTCTAAGAACTTAGCTTTATCAATTGCACTTTACACTTGGTGTTTTTTCTGTACTGATGCTTTGAATTCTTATATACTAAAGAACTGACATTATGACCGAATTCCAAACGCCCTTCGTGTGATCGCAAGATGGCCTCGCCACAATGCACCAATCCCAGTGCCGATCCTTTTACTAGTTCCCCGTTCCTTATATCTTTCGTTTTTTAAAGGAAAATTAATAAAATCTAAAACTGATACTTACGCCGTTAATACCAAACCAATCCCAATTGTTTTTATCAGTCTTTAACTTTTTTGGGACTGGGTATAAGCAAAATAGCTTTATCGTCTGGACTCCGTTCGTCGAGTCAACTCACATCAAATCATTCATGTGCTACAAAGGATTCCCCGCCTACATGGGTGACGTCACTTCCTAAGGAAAATCCGCTCTACGGACGTTTACGAAGTTAGTCATCATTGCTCCGGACAACTTCGGTTCATGTCCGTAAATAAAAAAAAATGAGTCAGAAATAGTCAGAACTACATTAGATGTTATGACTGTAACTGAATGAAGGGAAATGTGCTTACATTAAAAAAAACAAAAAAAATGTTTCTTGAATTGAATATTTTATCTACGAATGTGACCGAAAGAAGGAAAAAAGTTGCTGCAAAGAAAAAGTATGACGTAGTTTATACGCAATGGTCATATGACCAAACATCTAAATATATCGCAAATCTTATTGGATATACTTGATCACATGATCAAATATACCCATTTTATAGGCTGTTGCTTTGTTTATTGTTATCAGTTGATCGTAAGATGAAGAGGAAGGAGAAGAAGTTAGCGCAGAGGTGAAGAGAAAAAGCGATCGTAGCGAAGAGAGAGGGAGAAGAGCCACCATCAGGTCTCGTTGTTTGAAAGCATACGAGCCAGAAAATCTCGTGAATATAGTTTTGTGGAGAAATCTCATTGATTTCAGCAGTAATTTTTGACTAAATATTTAGTCACAATTCGACTTCAGTCGCCATATTGAATTTTTTGTAGAGCTAAGGTTTTTGTTTGCCCTGATAAGTAGTTTTGCAAGTTAGTGATCTAATTTGACGAAAGGGTATTTTTGATTACCCAGTAGTAGGTTGATAGGGTAACAGGACAGAGTGTTTACTGTTAAACAGCAGGTTTTCGATAAGACGGGTATTTGACCTTGTTTTACTTCACACTTAGTGCTTGTAAGAATTTGAAGGTCAACGTGCAAATATTGGAATTTTATTAACTGACAAATGTGCAACCCAACGAAGAAGAATAATTGGGCTAGGATGAAGTCGCCAAAGAAGGAACCCAGTGTTACATTGCCTAATGGCAGGCGACCTAGTAATACTCAAAACTTGCCATTCTGTGCTAATGGAGATAGGGGTTCACCTAAGCCGAGGCACGGAAGAGTTTCCCCATCCCAGCGGTACCAGCAAGGCGCCTCGCCAAAGACTGTGATGCATTCCAAATCCCCAAGCCCTGTGAATGGTGGACCTGTTGTGCCAAATGCTTATGCAGGTGCTAAGTACAATGAGCCGCCATCACCAAAGGTGCTTCCAAAGCCACCAGTCCACTGGTTTATGAATGAAGAGAATAAGCCTCCACGCTGTGATGAACTGACAAATCACTTGAAATTTATGCTCAAAGTCCAAGCCTGAGGTTGTACATCGACATTCAGTATTATGACTTGACTGGTTGTAGTCAAATAAGCATTCCACAAACAACCTGTCAAGTAATATGACAAATGTAATTGATGCAATTTAATTAAAATGTGGATCTCATGATCTCTCTTTTTTTTGTATAGATTATGTATGTCTTGTAAAAAAGTAATTTAGGATTTTCTTATAGAATCATCTTTCTGTCTTTATCTTATTTTGAAGTTTTGTGTACATTTTGTTACATGAAAGTCACTGAAAGCTACGCATGTTGTATGACTTTACTACTGAATGGCACAATTCCGCTTGTTATAAGTCCTCTATTTCTACAGTATTCAGAATATTGATACTGTGTATTTACCAGAAGATGTACAGTCTTGTTTTCATAGTTAAACTTTTTGTAAAAATGTCTTCAGATAGAAATAATCAATTTTTAAAGGTTTAAGTTCTACTTTTTTTTTNTTTTTAAAGGTTTAAGTTCTACCTTTTTTTTTTGTTCTGTTTGGCACCACTGTATGGTTTTCTCAATTAGTATACCCACGTTGGTATCGGCTCATATTGTACTTTGTTCCCAATGTGTTGGATATTACTTATGTACATGGTTTGAATGCTCTAAGTTATGAATATACAGCATTGTAACTCAAGTTTTTGAATCATCCTTTTAGAAAATTTTTAATTTGTAACTGTTTAATTGACTGGGTTTTCATGTTTTCTTTTCATTTTAATATGCCTTCCTTTCAGTGACTTAATTATATTCCAGCTTTAAGCTTTGTAGTTAAAGGATGGGTGTCTCTAAGCAGTTTCATTAATGTGTAAATGTACATAAAATTATGTAAATACGAGCTCTTTGGTGGATATTTTTGAAAAAGTATATTTTTATACAGGTTCTTAAATCAATTGTAGAGGGCATGTGAAAATATGTCAATTTTCTGAATATTGCAATTTATATTTTAGAAATTGCATTCTTTTTCATTTTGTTTTTATTCAAAGACCAAGGTTTAAGATAATGTTCTGTGACCAAACAAGTATCGTGTTGACGAAAGCTCTGCACATTTTTGTGAAGCAACTGATTGTTAAGCAGATAAAATAATGATTGTAAGGCGACTAAGTTGTGATATCTGTTAAAATGGTGCTGACAAATTGCACAATCAATGTGGAACAAAGCAACAGGAGTTTTCTTCAAAGGATCTAAACCAGATCATCTCTACAATTGCTGAAAGAAGTCAACCCCAAAGACCTCAACTGAAGCTGTGAAGATCACACCAACTGTAGCAAGTGCACTGCAGTTTCTTTTATCATTCTTTTTTTTTTTTTTTTTCGGGCCCTCTTTAGGGCCCACTTATCCTCCAAGAAAAGCTAAATACCAAAAGTTGAGTGTTGGTTGTGTCACTTGTGTGAGTAAATGGTGATGACATGTGTAGTGGTTGTGCATCATAGGGTATGAATGTCATAAAGGCTGCCTTGATTAACAGTACCTTCAGTGAATTTCTTCATATAAATGAACACATTTTGATTATTAATTTAAAATAAGTTTCAGGAATTGTGACACCCCGTTTTAATATGCATTTCACAAGCAAATTAATTCATCTGCAGGTCATTGACTCTGCAAATTGAGATGTAATAAATAGGCCTTGGAAAATCAAACAGGCCTAGCAGATAATTACCCCCTGACAGTTTTACTAGGCGTGACGGACATTTAAGCCAGCCAAGTTGACAGCAATTTAGTGAGACTCCCCAGAGATCGATCTAAATATCTGTGAGAATGGTCTCATAGACATTGTAAAAAGCTCATAGAAATATAATTAATTCTTTTTTACCTCCAAAACAGCAGCTAGGGCAATTATTCTGAAATCTGTGCATGTAATCGGACCATGTGATCTCCATAAGCGGTTATTCTCTGTAACAATCTCATAAGAGGAAAAAAAAAAAATGGGACAAACTGGTAAATATGGGAAAATTTTTGTTCCAAGGAAAGTCCATTTTTTTGGCCAAAATTAATAGTTATACCTTTTACACATCAAATATAATATGGGGCAAGAAACATTAATACATTCTTTATTATGTATCTGTTAAATATAACAAAAAAGACAATTATTCAAATTTATTATTTAAAACCCTTTGTCTCCTGATCAACATACAAGTAACATATGTGAGCCTTGTCATTTTGAAAATTCCTGACAAGTGAAATATCTTCCAGCTATAAATAATCCTTCCAGCTATACAATGATCTAAAGTTCAACAATGTTAAAATCAGGGGCAACACGGATTGTGCTGATCAAGAATAATGTGATTATAAAAGGCACCTCATTTTTTTTCCACCTCCCCTCCATAATTTATGTTAAGCTAAACAGTTCATTGCCATTATACAAAATAAAACCAACTCATCTCAAATATAAACACATGCCAATACATAACTAGGAAGATACAGTAAAATAATATTCTCAGAAGTGGAAGTTTCACTTTTTTTTTTGCATTTGGAACTTATTGGGTGCATTTAAAACTATGATACAAGGTAGAATAATCCAACTCAGCTGGGGCTTGGTGAAGGCAATCAGATTAACTGAATGACACGCCTACTCTAACAGCCCAGAGAAGTTTATCACCTCCTAGCTGCCTGTCCCACTGATAAACAGTTGATTCCATATTTTACACCCAATATCACTGCAACCAAGTTGCAAATACTATAAGGGGGCCACTTAAGATTCAAATGTTACACCCTCTCTAGGCACTAAGAAGAGCAGAGACCCTAACCGAACCATCCATGGACCCTGTAAGACACATCTTGGTGTCTGTTGCAGATGACCAGTCCACAGTGACCACTGGTGATTTATGACCACTGAGATACATAGTATCTGTCATACCATTGTCAACCTACAATAAAATTAGAACGTTGAAATTGTAAGTTATTGGAAATAATGTAAGTTATTGGAAATAAATTACAACATTCACTCTTAACATGGATTTAAACTCTCATGGGTTTATAGCAATATAACAGTTCTCTTTCATGATAGGACTTACTTAACAAACAACATATAAGCATTAACTATGTTAGATATCTTTCTTACAGCAAGTGTTTAGACAAGACATTTTCAAGGCATCTGTCATTTAGTTTGAAAAAGCTTTTGATTAACCTTGTAAATTTTCCCTCCTGTGTCCGCACAAGTGAGTACATATTTCCCATCAGAGTCAAAAGCAAACAGTTTTCCCTTGGGCTTCTGTGTCTGTTGATAACCACCAGGCCCTGTCACAGTAAATGGCCCCGTAGCACCAGGATGAAGAGGTAGGTCTTGTATCTTTGTGCTCATCTTATGAACACTCCACTGAAGAAACTAAAATAGGAGATCATCTTATTATCTCTTAATAGTATGAGATTTATATGGCAAAGAGTGTCACTAATGTCAGGACTGATACCCTTTAATGCTAATTAAAAAAGAATTTTAAAAAGATTGCCTGTTGCTCTTATGTGAGTTAGAAAGAAATGACTTTTAAAAAATAAAAGTGCACGGCAACGACGACAGACGCAGATGATGGCTATATGTACAGACACATCTGTGTCTGTACATAATAAATTACATGTATAATTTTAACTCGCCTTTCCATCAGATCCCATACAATAGAAAGAGTTTTCATCGTTGCTGAACTGTACTGAATAGACCTCTCCTAAGTGCGCCCCCCAGGCAGCAATACAGTCGTAGCTCCTCATGTCTGCAATATTCGAGTTTGAGGTAATGATAGCGGGGTCATGTCTTTACATCTGTGATTTGTTACATCTCCACTTGCTAATCCCAGCAAATTAAGCAAAATTATGTTGCCTGCATTGACACTCTCCGACACCAATACTCCCATGCATTTTGAATGATGAATTAAAAAATATGTCACTTTGGGGTCCTGGGAACATACCAGTATATTTTTGGAAAATTGTTCTTCTTTAAGGAAGGTTTTAACATTAATCTATCTTGTTGTAAAGTAACCATGCAGTGTAGTAATGGTGCGAGGGAGTTACAATGCAGGGGTGTAAAGGGATGTAACCATGTTTTAAACAATTCAAATTACAATAAAAATATAAAAAAAATATTTATATGTATGGCATGTTGCACACTTTGTAGTGAATTTTTGTAATCCCACTTTTCTTTTTTTTATTTTGAAGTTCATGATGGAATATTTAAAGACTAACCAAATATTCTAATCATTCCATCCACTGCCCCAGTTATGAGAAGGTTGCCATTGTGATTGTATGTTGTGCAATTCACAGCTACTGGACCTGGGATCATAGGAAGATCTTTCTGCAAAAAGTTGGTAGAGATAAGAACACACACACACACACACAAAGTCCACACATATACAAAAATCATTTTAACACAAATGTATGTTATTTTATGCCGTATGCAGTAAAATTGATGAAATTTATTTGAAATTTTGCTTCAATGTCTGTTAGTTTTTTTTTTTTTTTTTTTTTTTTTGAAGTGTCGATCCATAGCCTTTGTACATGTATATGGCAAGTGGCAATCCAATATTTAACATATGTCTTTTATTTAAAGGCAAAGAGGCCATTCAGAATGAGAAGAGCCAAGTGCTAGCTAGGCCACGACCTGAATATGGCAGACCTACATGAAAGAAAGACCACTAAATCCTGTAATTATCTCTCCGCTTCTCACACTGCTCTCCACACATTGTCCCTCGACCAGTTGAATTGAGCCAAGATTTAATTACTGTGACCCTGCAGAGACAACGCGTGGGGAGGCTTGTGAGAGGCGGAGAGACCATAACAGGATTAAGCGGTCTTCCTTTCATGTAGGCCCGCCAAATTTAGGTCCTGGCCTAGCTAGCACTTGGCTCTTCTCATTCTGAATTGCCTCAAATACTTAATGATATGATAAAAATAACCTCAAGCTTCATTGTTTTCATATCCCACAATGCTACTTTGCCCATCCTTTGTACAGAGTTGTCAGCTTGTCCTTCTGAAGAGTACCTGCCACGACTCACTGAGGAACACACAAACTTGCACTGAACTGCAGAGTAAGAGAGAGAAACAACTCTGGAATGAAAATATCTTGAGCTGTTACTCAATTTAATTTGGGCAAATGCCAAATACATTATGAAAGATAGTATCATGAATTATCTGTCTTTCAAAAGAAGACACAAAATACTGTTTTGCTTCTTGTGATTTGATATTTGACACATATTAACCTTGGATGGACTTCATCAACCATGGTCTCACAAGTTGTTTTTTTGTCCTTAATGTCATACAACCTGACACAGCCAGATTTATTTCCAAAGAGAAGCTGAAAGAACAACATAATATCGATGATATTTCTACGACCATCTTCTTAAATTGCCACACCTCAAATAGTTAAAAGGCTTTCTACTTATTTGCATCTCAATATAGTTTATTTGTTTTATCCAGATTACATACAGGTTTAACTAAGCATAATATGAAAATTTAGGTTCGTATAATTTAATATTTGGCCAAACAAAGTCCTATGCATTTATTGGGTACATCTGTTTGTTTTTCAGGAACTTAAAAAAAAAAAACTACATTCAAAACTGTCCATTGAGTGAAAATTATATTCAAATCCAGTCTCTTGAGCAAAATTTTTCTCTGCACTCTCCCACACATATGCAGTCATAACTTACCAGTTTATCAGTCGGACTTGCCCATTCCAAGGACATAACACCAGATTTTGATATGATGGTAGCAACAGTCACTGGAGATGGCTGGAGAGACCAAACTCTGTAAAATATATAGGGGCATTTACGAACATATATCAGTTCATTAGTTTTTCAACTAGCATTCAAATGATATTTCAATTTCAAATAAAAAAAATTAAATTGAGAGAGAGAGAGAGAGAGAGAAATACTTGACAATGCCGTCAACATCTGCACTAGCAATGCAATGTCCAGTGTTGCTGAAGCGACAGTGGATGATAGATGATCGATGCTCGGTGTAGTTGTCCTAAAAAGTTAAAATGTCCAAGCTAATCACTACAAATACACATTTACATTTAAATGAATAACAGAAATTACCACTTAAAGGAATTCTTTTAGCATCATATAATAAACCACCAGAAAAAATTGGAATATTCAGAAACTACTGATAAATACACTCACCTGACTTAATAACATAAAAGGAGATTTTGTATCTGAAAATTAAAATCACACGTTAATAAAGTTCAGAAGGCCTCAAGCCATGTTCCAATTGACACTATAGTTATTTGTAATATTATGCTTTCAACCTTTGTAAATAAACAAAGTTGCAATAGGACAGACATCCCAGCAATAGAAAACATTACAGGTTTGACTTTTTCAGTCTGTTATTTGAAACACATGCAAAAGAAAGGCTAAGTTTATTTCAAGATGGATGTAATGTTTATTAGAGCATACACTTACTTGAAATTGCTGAAGACAAAAGAGGATCTGAAGGTATCCTTTTTACAGGTTGACTACTTTCTTTTTGCACAAATGATGTAGGGATATTTATCCTTTCCTGCATCCTCTGGTTAGCTGAACTATTTGAATCACTACTTGATCCTTGACGAAATTGACCTTCAGGTTCTTTGGAACTCCGATAATACTGTGCGCTGCCATCTGTTGTAATCTAAGAAAAGGTACTAACATCATAAAACAATTTTTTACCAGTGACAAATAAACACATATCACATTTTACTTGTCTTTTTTCAGAACTTCTAATGAGATGGGTTGCAATTAACTTTGGCAAAAGAATAATATTTGTGTTTAAGAAACGTCTTTATTTACTGATGGCCTTTAACACAAGACAATTTGCATACATTGTACAGGTAATAACTGCAGGTGAACATTAAAAAATATATTTTGAAAGAAAACAATTCAAAAATTAGGAAAATTGTCTTAAATCTCACATACAGTACTTATAGAGCTCTATATTAACATTCTCCTATTTTGACCACTTTGATTTGGATCTAACAATGGTACATTTAGCATATTCTCAGTCACAACAAAATAATTTCTCTACAGGGTACTACTTTGACCTTTTTCAAGAAGTTTCACCTCTAAAGTAAATTTATCAGACTTGGTTAATTTGCAATCCGCATTAAATGGTTTTGATTAGGTTAACTTGTCAATCATAATGTAGAAATGGAATAAATTATCAAAAAGTAACAAAATGGGCAAAAACCAATCTACAATAAAAACTTGAAAAATCCAATTATTTTAAGAGGCAGAAATCAGTCTTTATGCAAGTGCATGTGGTAAACGACAAGGTTCTCCTGACTCAAGTTTTATTGCCTAAACTAAACAGTTGCCGTGTGGCTTGGGTGTACATGGCTACTATGCACAATGATAAAATTTTTAAAACTGACACGTCTATTTTGAGTTCTGACAAATTTTTCAAAGTGAAAATAACTATGTCAGCCAAAAATCATCTTCTAATGAAGTTTTTACCATATCCATTTCTATCCATAAGCCACAGGACTTACCATTCTGTGGGAAACTGGCTCAGTGCAATCAGAACAACTGAATATTCTTGTTTAGAATAATTAACAAACTAAACTTTGACTTCTGCACAACAAATTTCAAATTTTAGTATACAAGTATCCAAAGATAACATGCCACTATATCTAATACTGCATATATTTGTGCCTATCTTAAAGAATCCAAGCTACAAGTACTAGTACTAGGTTTTATTCCTACAAACTTTCTCAATCAGGTCAGTTAAGCCTTAAGGTCAAATCTTAAATATCTGTTGAGCATTATACTTTTCAAAATGAAAACACCATAGAAAAGATAAACCTGCCAATGGTATTACATTCATTTTGTTGTTTTTTTGTTTTTTTTTTCATGGATAATAGAAAAAGATAACCAGACAGGTAGCCTGAAACCACAAATTACCCATTAAAAGTTTTAAATCTTCATTGTGCATAGTCATTTCTGAAATCTTTTAACTGTTATTTGTAGAACCCATGTGTACTATTGAACAGAACCTTAACATGCAAAAAAAGAGGATCTCCACTTTAATCTGTTGAGATAGGAGTAGCCTCACAAGCTAAAGCTTAAATTTAAAGTAAATGACGTACCTTTAATTACATGTATGCCTTAAAAATTAACAAACCCTTGGCAAAAAGTGTCATGTCTGACAACATCAATATACATAAAGCTATATTCCATTTGGTGTATGAAGGAACTTATATGTACTAGCAAATACATAGCACTTCTTTTTGTCCCCTTTCAGAAGGGATTTAATCTAAACTTTAACAAAAATGTCTTTGCAAACTGATGCACAGACATCTCTGAATGCATCTCCAAAGAAAGCATGGACTAAATATAGCATCCTCAAGCTAAAGCTAGCAATCTAACAAAATTCTGAATATTTCTTTTACACAACTACAACTGTTCTTTACAGACTGAAAATTAAATTTTACAAAAATAAGAGAAGATGTGTAGGTGTGTTTAACAAATTAAACAAATAATCACAAATTTTATATCCCGCAATTATTTTCCAATAACTGCCACCATGCAAAGACCTAAAACAACACTCAAGCAGTTCTACTTGTTGAGACAAATGCAAACAAGGCACACATGTGGCACCATCTGGTTGGTTAGTGGGAAAGCAGAGCAGGAATGGAATCAGCGATTTTGGCTGTGGTAGAACATCATCATGTGTCTTTGTTAACTTATTAGTGGCTGGTTCCAAGAAGGCAGGTTACATTGGTAAGTTCTGCAGAAAGCAAAAAAAGATGCTTTGAGGAAAGATGTGTCTAGGCACATTAGAGTTGGCTAAGGTACAGCATATCAGTAACATAGCACCCAACTTAAGTACAAGTGGTAGCTACTAATTATACCCTGTTTATATCGGACTGTGACACTCCATGACCATAGCAATCACAGAAATTTCGGTAACTCTAGCAAGTCTCAATTTGTCTCTGCTTTGGTTGCCTATTTGTGTTTTCATTAAACATCAAGCTCTCTATAATGCTTGCAAGTGACACATTCTTCAAATGTTACAAACATAAACTACTGCATGCAAGTGAATTAGGTGTGTACCAATATTCCAACCTGTGGGACCCACTGGAAAGTGACTTTAGACCTGTGAGATTTTGTTATCACATAATGATAGCTTCTTGTAATTGTCACTGGTCGCAAATCTCAGGGCAACTGATGAAGCAAGAATGATGGAGACCAAGATCGCATTCACAACGAGTTGAGCCAGGCTTTACAAATCCTGGGGACTAAATATGGCAGACGTACATGAAAGAAAAACCGCCTAATCTTTTAATAGTCTCTCCGCCTCTCACACGCCTCCCCAAACGTCGTCCCTGCGAGGTACAGTCATTAAATCTCGGCACCGTTCGCCATGCGGAAGCTACCTGAGAAATATGAAGTGCGCATGCTCATTGGTCTTGGGTCAGCTGATCAGCTAGTTCCCCTTCTTCAGTTGAAGTTTAATTGATGAGCTTGCACATTTAATATTTCTCAGGTAGCTTCCGCATGGCAAACGGAGCCGAGATTTAATGACTGTACCCCGCAGGGATGACATGTGGGGAGGCGTGTGAGAGGCGGAGAGACTATTAAAAGATTAGGCGGTTTTTCTTTCATGTACGTCTACCATATTTAGTCCCCAGGATTTGTAAAGTCTGGCTCAACTCGTTGTGAATGCGATCCAAGAGAGACTAATAAGATCACTTGGACACCACCTTGCAATCCCATGGCGATACCCTGTGAGGCTGTGACTGCTGATTATAGTAGATCAAAAATAATTTCCATGTGTCGCCAGCCCAGTGTAAACAGGGTTTAAGCTACATATCTGTGTGCCACTTTACCATTCTAAATTGCAAAGCAAAACTTATTTTATGATCCAGATGTTTGACTTTTTCACATGATAGAGCATATGGGAGTCAATTTAAGTTAGTCATAAAGTGTATAGAGGAAATTAAAAAGTCAAAACAGTCAATTGTGTCACTTTATTTAAGTCAGTTCAACCAAGTCAGTGAAACTTCAGACATATGCAATAAATCAAAATACCAAAACAGCATCCAATGCTACATGCAAGAGAAGAAATCGAGAAAACAGGCTCAAAGTGCAAACCAATGAAATATATAGAAATATATATGAAATGTATATGAAATATATAGAAATCCCACTAAAAACCTCAAATTTCTCCACACCATGTTAAGCATACATAAATTCTTAATCTACATGCTTACCTTTTCTTTATTTGGTTGTGATTTGCCCAGTAGTTCCTGTCGTTGTTTTTCATGCTCTTCTTGCAGTTTCATCCTTCTGGGAGGAGAATTCTGGGCCTTGCTTTTGGTTTTAATTTCTTTGGCTTTTGCTTTCGAAATAGGGTTATCATCTTTGCCTTGTAAATGTCCAAGAGTGTTTGGGAGAGATTTTCTAATGTTATGAAACAAAGGCTTAATTTGGAGCTTGGGATGGCTACTTCTTTTGGGTTCTTCAGTGACAGTATCCCTATATGAAAGCAATGGCAAGGCTGTGATAAATATACACACATATGCACAACAAAAGTCTCTTTTCATTTTTGATGTTCTTACTAGTGTGTGATTTTTAGGACATAGGTGCCAAAATAAAATCAGACTCAAATTATTGGACGACCATCTAAGAAAGAACATTCTTGTAGCCTTACTGTGTTCCAGTATAAAATTCATCCATAAGTTCCATGCTGCCCTGAATGGCATCCTGCCTAGAAGTTCTTATAACGCCACGGTCAGCTGATTTGCGTTTGAGGTGTTCCTCTAGTTGCTTTTTCTCCATAAGGGCAGTCAGCTACATATTCATAAAAATGAAACTTTGTAATGCAACAGTTCCTAACTAACATGTAAACATTCATAATGATTCACATGGAGTTTCTTGACAAAAAATTACTTAAAATATATATACACCGTGGTAGTAACATCAAAATACCTTAATAACAAAAAGATTAGGTCTTGTAATCTTTAAAAAATGAAGCATAAGTACATGTAATACATGTACTGTACAATACCTGTTCACTGTACATATTATTCTCATCTTGTAATTGTGCTAGCTTTGCTTGTTCTTCTTTAAAACTCAAAAGAGGCGGAAGAGGTAAGTTTGTTAAGGTATGACAAAATGAATATGACAAAATTTAACATACAAACCAATATATTTTCATTCTTAGAGGTCTGTCAATAATAATCATCCTCTTATATAATTTAAAAACTCAAGTTGTATAACTATAGACAACAAAGTGCATTACAGTAAGCAAAATACAAATGAATAAGGAATGATGTCCTTGGATTATTTACATAACATACATACTTACAATTTTGAAAGATTTATGTTAATAAAGAGGAGATGATATCATATCATGTCGTGTCGTGTCGTATTGTATCATATCGTATCGTATCGTATCATATCATATCATATACTGCCTGACAATGATCTGCTTTTGATGACATACTAGAATCTGTCAACATCAAATTAATTATAAGACTACCCATCTGACCCATATATATCTATATAGCAATCATTAACAAGGATATGCATGCTCTGGAATATGACATTCAGGAAATTATGCAGTGACAGAAGGAATGTATCAAGCCATATTTTAGTAAAGTACATGCTAAAAGATGGGTTTTCTTCGGGATTCTTGATGAATGGTAAAACTGAAAAAAAAATAGAATTTAATCCTCATTATTCTACTAATATCTGTCTGCATTTATATCTGCATTACTTTTTCAAAACAATCTCTAAAATTTATACCATGACTTTTTAGACATGACCAATTATCAATGCAAATTAATGCCCTCAACAGGCTTGCACTGAATAAAATCTAATTTTATACAATTGTCTCCACCCATAAAATATTCTAATATCAAATTTACTATATCTGTTATCAGACATTCTTATTTATTATGGTGGTGGTGAAGAGCGGAGGGTGCAAGAGCACCTGCCACTGTGTGCATGGAATCTTACCAAACCAGTCTTTCCACTCAACCTGGTTCTGCAGCTCAGAGGAAAGTCTTTCAAAAAACTCAGACACTCTGTCCATCCTATTATTCTGCACAGCATTGATAAGATAATATTTCAGCATGCTAACTTCCAGCTTTCTAATGCTTGATGCATACACCTGGTCTAGTCTAGAGAAGAGGCGACGGTCAAGATAAGCCCAGTATTCTCGAAGTTGTGCTAGTTCATATCCTGCTACATACAGTTGAAACTGTTCAATAATTTTATCCACCTACAAAGAATAAAATGTGCATTTGCTTGTTATGATTTACCTTCTAGTTTTTAATTATAAGAAGTAAATTAAATGTTTGTAAATGTGCAGGATGTCCAGTACATGTAGTTATGCTGAACAATATACAGGAATTTTCCGAGAAAAAATAGTAAAATGAATTTCCATGCATAACTAAAACTGCAATGCACTTGTCAACCATTAATCAAAGTTAATCAAGTCCAAAATCCACATTTATTACAAATAAATTCAACACTAATACTGTAACATACGCTCGGCTGTCACCTTGATTGGATAGTAAACGGTTGTCGTAAAATCGCTAAATGATATTAAAACCCAGTGCATAAACTTGAAAACCACCTAGGACTACCTAGACTCGGTCCACTCCACAATCCAAATCAGGAAATGACGTAACCGCAGAGGTCGCATTGTCCAATGGCCTGGCTTCTTTTTCGTAATGGGAGGTTAGAGTGGACCGACTTAAACATCAGAGGTGGAATTTGGATATACAGTTTGATTGTGCGTATGCCATGCACGGAATTTACAAATGAGCGACGGGATGATGTAGCCTGCAGTATTTGCGGTAAGCGTGCCAAGTTTTAGGCCGCTCCGATGCCCGGCAGTATTTTATTTCAATTATTCTGTTTAAAATTGTAAATTCTTGTTTCACAAGCTTACTTATTTTATTGTCTCTATGGAGGTATATGGGGACTTTACGACATTCGGTTTGAAGGCTTTAACCACTTGTTATAGTTTATTTTTGCATTGTATTGGATTAATGTGGCAGTCTAAGGTAGTCCTAGGTGGTTTTCAAGTTTATGCACCGGGTTTTAATATCATTTAGCGATTTTACGACAACCGTTTACTATCCAATCAAGGTGACAGCCGAGCGTGCTGTAACACTAGAAGTACTAGTTCGCTGTACATGTAGTACTACTAGTACGCTGTACGGTACAATGTACATGTCCTGGTAGCCATGTAGTAGTGCATATTCAAAGACCTAAGGCTAACCCCAACCAAAATCAGAACTCGTGAATTATATAGACATTTGGTAAATAAGTTTTTCTGATTCCAACATTTGTGTAAAATAGTCACAAAGGTTTAACTGAGATAAGGAAACTTGGGTCACCGCCATGGCAGTGTTTGCTTAATTTAAGCCAAATGCCACATGCATGAATCAGTGTCAGTTTTACATCAGGTTGCTGTGTAATGTGCAATTATTGTTTCACTTACACGAAATCCCTTGTCTTTCTCATTTTTAAGTTCGTTTTCGAAAGCTCGTAGCGTTGACGTGAGACCTCTAAATAACAAATAATCCTTCACTAAATCGTCCAACTGGCCCGTAGCTGCCATTTTTACTGCAGGTTGACCCGATTATCATTTATCAATGTCAGATATGAAACACAATCAACAGCTGCTGCAACTGAGAAGCCTAAACTAATGCAAACTTAACTGCATATGAATTTAACTGATATTTGGTATTAAAGATAATTGAGGAGGATATCATCAAAAGGCCGCATCCTACTGACACAGTCGAGTCGAGTTATAAACCGGAAACGTGAATGTTGTAAACATGCAGTATGAAAACGAGACTGGCGCTAGTTTCACTTTCAATGTTGTCATTGACTGGAGAAAAATCAAACGTGTAGTTCTCGCGAGTGGCATATGTTGAAGTTTTCGAATTTCCACATAAGTCCGTTTCCCACTATATAAATGAAATGCATTTATGTTTTCTATTGCAGTGTGAGGGTTGCCTACCAAGTTTTAGAATACTTGGAACTTGTCTATCTACTATCAGCATGTCCCCAGTGTGTATAACACAGGGTGGGGGTGCTTCGTCGATGTTTGAACTGATGGCAGATATTAGAACAGCCAGTGAGAATTCAACTCCCTTTACTGAGACATAAAGATACATTTCTTTGACCTTTTTGTCATCTCGATAAAGAGGAAAGGTAACTTAAACAGTCATTTCAATGTATAAATTCAACTGAAAAGGTATTTTAAGCAAAAAGTTTGAAATGTTAATTTACCACTCATAGATTGCACTTAGTTTAAGCCAACTGGTACTGAATGTATCAGTCTTGTGTAGTATTAAAGATGTATAAAGAACTGGTAAAAAGGACCTTGGTATTTCATTTGCAGATATAATTTTTGTACCTGAAAAATCTCTGCCACTCTTGTTATCCCACATACCACACGGAAGTTTGAGATCTAACAACAATTGACAATTTCTTTTTTTTTATTCATAAATATAGTAGTTGTAATACTATTCATGGGACCAGCCTATTTACAAATGATTTGTTATTTAGCACAAAATTACAGAATTCAGTTCAAGAGTAAAGGTCTCTGAATCCGTTTCAAGTAATAATCAGCTCCTGTGGCTGTTCTGGTATTGCACTTCCTACTTCTCCTTTGAATTAGACTAAACTGAATAGAAGTAGACTTGCTGCATGGTCAACAACTCATGATCATTCTCCATATCAATCTGCCCAGTATACAAATCATGTAGAGTGTCGTCAACATTTTGTCATATTTGACAAGGTTAACTATTGTTTCAATGAAAAATCCTATGAAATACATAAATAACTAAATAAAATTGTAACCCCTATCACAGGGCATAAATGTGACCACAAACACAAAAACCAATATTCTTGCAAATTTTTTTTTCGCAACTGATAAACATATCACTTGTAAATGTAGTGAATTTTCCTGTGCTTTACATAGCAATATAGCACAAATATGTTCACATGATACCTACACTAAATCCTCTATAAACATCCGTGTGAAGTTATATAGTATTAAATAAAACAGTTAAAGCTAATGACATTAATAAATATAATCTCTCATTATCTAAAATATATCATTCTGTATGCATGGACATTTTTTCTTGATGCAGAGTCCATTAAATTGATTAAGAATTTAAATATGGTCATATGCCACTAGTACAAAGATCACAGGCATGTTGAAAACTTGTGTCTGTCATTCATTCGCTCAATTCTTATTGCACTTGTATGCCCTGATTATGTCTTTGATTGGAGCTCTGCATACTGGGCAGTTTGATCCTCTAGCCTTTAGTTGCAAGCCACAAGGATGACACATACAGAGATGCCCACACTGGTAAAGTACAGAATCTGCATTAGCATCCAGACAGATAAGGCAGCGTGAGTCATCCACTGGGGGAGATCTGACAGTAGGTGGTGCCTCTGTAGTGGAACCTAGAAAAGATGGTGAGCATTTGTTATAAGGACATACACGTTCAATGTTACACTGGAAATTTCCTTCAAGTTTGAAGCCTCTAGCAACTAGCAATGTTTTTACTATCAATCACAAGTTCACATAAATATGGTGATTGACTGATGGAGAGGATATCTTACTAAATGTGAGTTTGTGTGTAACTCAGAAATATTGCCTAATTTAGCTCTTTTAAAATTAAAGACTTAATTTACACTGTGTGAAGGGGATATCTTTACCAACTCAAGAAGTCAATTAATTTGATTGGAAGCCTACCTAAAGCCTTAACAAGAGCAGCTGACACTTCCTGTCTAATGGCCCGCTGAATGTCCATCTGCAACTCAAAGCTGACCTTCAACATGTTCTTCATCTCCTCCATTTGTGCTTTCATTATCTGCATTTCACGGCTCAGATAGGTGTTAGTCTATGAAAAACACAAAATGTTCATGGGTAAGTTTCCTTTTCAATATCTCTATTTTTTTAATTACATCAATATGGTTGGTATTAAAATTCACACTCTATAAGACATAAGTATATGTCATTTAATCCAATATCATAACAGCACAAATTATGTTACCTCATTAAGAATTCTCTAAAGTCAAACCTGTAAAATCATTACAAAAATCAACAAGTTGTATAACTTCTGGCAAAAATACACAATGACATACTGGACATACTGATACTCTTCATACTATTTTTATATTAAAAATGTGCAATTCTTGATGACAGTTGCACAATGAAGTATTTTACCTGCTGATATGGTACAGTTGTGGCACTAACAACAGAGATGTTATCCATGTTATCAAACAGACCCTGGGGTGGTGGAATTCCAAGGTGTGAGAAGTCATTCCGTGGAACTGGAGCAGGAGGCAAAGCCTGGATGAATTGCTGCACAGCACGACCATCAGAGTTAGTGTTTGCTAAACGATTCTGGAATGAACATGCATGTACAAATCATTTAAAGTGTTTGTCTCAGCTGACAAGGATGATGGGGCACAGACAGAATTAAGGCAAATTTCTTTGCTTCATCTACTCATATTTCAAAAGGTCTTTCATCACAGTAATTTATCAATTATCTAATTCATTTTCAGTTTTGAGTGAAAATATGCAATGCTGGAATCATCCTAAATAGGAATGCACAAATAATTTTCCCAATATTTCAATTAACATGAAAAAGAATCATTTCACTAAATCCTTCTTAACCAATTTTTTGTAGCACTGATATCGGACTGAATGCTTTTTTCTTACCTGTATATGCATCTCCAATAATGGCCTACTATCTCCTTCCAATGCAGATGTGACTAGCTGTCGGTGAAGAAGTTCACTGATTTCTTGAACAAGAGCTTCTTGCCTTACATCTTCCTCAAAGCCCCACGTATTCACTTGTTGTTGAATTCTGCAACCCGATTAAAAATTCAAACCCAAATAAGATTAGAAAGTATAATACTTGGTGATCAAAATGGGTTATTCTTAGTAACTAATCAAAATCAGGGTTCCTAAGTTAAAGGGATAATAACTCTTTGTATGAGATCCATATTTCACAATAAAAACATTGTGAACAACTCATAGAAATATAATATATTCTGCTATACCACAAAAACGGCAGTTATAGCTATTATTCTGATATCTGAGCTTGTCTTTAGACCACGTGACCTCCATTGATGGCTATAAAACAAAAACTTTTTAGAAAAAAAAAAAAAAAACAGGGACTAACTTTGAATGTAAAAATGGATTCATTAACCATTGGTAAATATTGGAAAATTGTTGTTTACTCCAGGAAAATTCATTTTTTTGCCAAAACGAAGAGTTATTATCCCTTAAGCAATAACATAATAAAAAGAATATAATATAATTACTGATGACAAATTATTATTTACATTATAATAATGCTGCTCAAGAACATTTTAGGCCTATAAAATGATATCAGGCCCAAAAAAACTGCATAACTGATTCAAATTAGATATCTATATCATAGGGATCAAATTGAAATAAGTAGCAGATATGGTGCCTTATTTTAACATTCAATTTTATCTAATCAACTGCTATCATTATCTCCTGCACTCTGCCTCACCTTGCATCCTGTATCCACCTTTCATCAACAGGTACCCCCTGTTGTTGCTGTGCTGATGTGTGATTATCAGAGGGTGGTTGAACTTCCTGCCTCTGTACTTGTGCTTCCAGCGGTGAATTCTGCTGAGTTAAGGAATTGGGGGCTGGCGGAGGCTGTGGTATTCTTGCCCTGTTTACAGGTGGTACGGGGTTAGGGGCCGTCTGTCTGGGCGCTGCAGCTCCATAATCTGATGGATGAGAACTGGAGCTGCTTGAACTCACAATGCTGGTCTGACTAGGGGCCCTTCTCAGTTCAGATATTTGTGTTTCTGTGGTATCTGCGGGGCTTTGCCTGCGTGGCTCGTTTCTGCGTATACCACCAAGACTGCCTCGGATGATATTTTCTAAATTTTGTCTAAAACGTGCAGACTGCAAAATGGATGATACCCTTCTTTGCTCAAACAATCCACTTACTTCTACAACAATAGACTCAGGCCTATGTTGTTCTACACTATCAACATTAGCTGGGGCATTTTCTTTTTCATTTGAGGCAACACTCATTCTCTTGGCAAAGAAACTCTCTAACTGCTCTCTGCTATCGGTGCCAGATACAGGCCTCTCCCCATGTTGAATTCTTCTCAATTCATACATAATCTCACTGCAGTAAATAAATAAGAAAAATACGTCAGATATATAAAAATACAATTAATAGATAAATAAGAGTTTAACTGCAAACAAATAAAACTATATAATTTTACACGTCAAGTTATAATCACAATGCAGGAAACATTCACTTTATCTGGAAGATATTTTCAGTAATGAAGAAGTTTGCAAGTTTTTTTCAAACAGTGAATATGTGCATGAGACTGAAAGAAAGTGATGTGATGTGACGTACGGTACGTAATGCAAAGGCGCCTTAATTGATATTACCTTCTCTGTTTTTGCAACAACCTGTCCATTGAAGCCATTTCTGGAGTCAGGTGTTCCGAACTTGAAGAAGATTCTGTATCCGACATACCTCTTGCAGCCAAAGGCATAAAGTTTTCAACGTTCTAATCATAACCGCCGGTAACTCGGCCTTTATATCCTGTTGTTAGGTATCACTAAAAATAGAGCTGATGTTGGTGAATGATTCATCATCCACAGTGAGGTAATTTTAACGAGATCCGATTGGTTAATACTGAGTATAGGTCATTCTTCTCTGCATTTATTGGTTGGTGTATATAGGTCAAAATGTAGTCTGCTTTAAAACAGATCTTGGGGTTGCCCTAGTATTCCTGTGACATAATCATTGTGAATTTACTGCAAACTACTTACCGTTGCAATGGCAGCAGCCTTAGACGATTTATTTGGGCAGATTCTCATATCAGAACAAAAGGCACAGGAAAGAAAATCGCAGTTGAATGAAGGTAGATATAAAGATTTCACGGCCAAATTTCATTTCAGAAACTTCTCAATCTAGATTGATTAAAATCAAATTACATGTATGTCAAAGTTTGTTAACGCTATCTATTAAAGAGTAAAATTACCTGTATGTACATGCACGGAAAGAACTGTATTCGTGCTCGAAAGGATGCTTTCAATTTCATTTGTAAAAGGATATCGAGTTTATTTTTATTATTGCTTCGAGCCAAAGCCCACGCTCGGCTGTGCCGAGCTGTCACCTTGATTGGTTAGAAAACGATTGACATTAGACTATTGAGGATTCATGTTAATTCACCGTATAGATCTTAAGGAAAATAGACGTATATATATATATTGATGCACCTTTGAAGATCTACATTACAGTTGTAAAATACAATCCGAGCTTTCGGCCCCTGGGCCTTCTTCGGGGATTATGAACAAAAAGTGAAAAAACAAACTCATATACATGTAGGATACGTGACGTTGGTGATGTTACAACAGTAATGTAGATCTTCACAAGTGCATCAATACATTAGACTATTGAAACACGCCCTGAGCAATCCAACCTTGGGAAACATCCCTATGTGCAAAGGTTTTTTTCAGTTAGAAGGTTCATTGCACCAACATTAGGCCAACAAACTACTTAATGTGTGTTCAGGTGACTTGGTTCCAATTAAATACATGGATTCTTTTTTTTTTTTTTTTTGTCATTTGTAGACACCTGTACATATAATTTTGATTTTTTTTTTGCAGTTAAAACAAATATTGCGCATTCGAGAAAGAAAATAGAAGAAAGTGAGGATGAAATTCATTCTCTACAACTACAACTTTCAGCAAAGGTAAAAGCTAGCTCCATGAAACTATATATATATATATATATATATATATATATATATATATATATATATAACTACCTACCTTTGTTTGAAGATAATTTGTTATGACTTTATTGTGAAATGTATGCATCACACGCCACTAATTAATATCTATATATTGTGTAAACATGTAGTGTGTAAATTTTAGGTGAAAGAGTTGAATGATGATGAACTGAACCTCAGCTGGATATGTAAAAGGGAAGAAATTCTCAAAGAAGTAAACAATAACTTGTTAGGAGAAAGAAAAATGTTGCAAGACGAAATGGTAAGGTTTAGAATATTTAGGATAAATTCAACTGTTGGGACATAATACATACAGTACATACACATAGTTTCAAAAGTTGAAAAATCTATTTGTCAAGACATATATAGTAATCGAAATGTTATTTGACATAATGGTGTGAACCTAACAGGAGGGTTAAATTTGAAGTATAACATTTCATACATTATTTAAAAACTTCTACAACCATGAAATAACAATGCAAACTGTCTATGGCTCTAATTTATAAGCACTTAAATAGCAGATTGAGTGATTAATTTTGAGTTTCCCTTCTTAATACGAGTCACATCAGAAACTATAGTACATGGAAGTGGTTTATATGCCTTATACGCTCCACCGATGCTGGGTTCAAATGTACCTTTAATCAAGGATTTTTAACACTTACTTCTTGCTTTAATATTACCAGTATATCCCGATATAGACTACCGGGGTACTTTGTTTTGCAACAAAATTATACACACACACAGCCACACATATTTTTTTTTTTCACAGAGTATACATCACACCTAATTTCTTTGCCCTTCTTTAAAAATATTTCACATATATACAACGAAAGGATGTTTTACTCTCAAATGTTTTTCTTTAAATCATTAATTTTCAGAGAAAGCTTCAAGAAAATATAGCTCATCTTCAGTCTGAATTTTGTTCTAAAGTTTGGGAATTTGGTCAAGAGTATGATCTTGTTGGAGATGGCAGGCAGAAGAGAGAAAAGATAGCAAGAGAAGAGTTCCAAGAGCTAAAAAAGAAAGAACACAAAATTACAAAGGGTATGTCATTTTTGTTTTACAATAAATACTATTAAAATTTTTCAATCATTGATCTTAATGTAACAGACGAAAGCGTAAATTTAAAAAAAAAATCAAAACAAAAGAGAATTTAGAAATGGAATCTTTACCTGTTCCATGTATAAGACCATTAACCATTGGCAGTTAAATGTGTTTAAGCATTCAGTTTTCTCATATTTTATTTGATTGAATTAATTAACATAGAACTAGCATGTTTTCGAGCCCATCAAGAAAATGTAGACAAGTTGGAGATGGACAAGAAGACTTCTAAAGTGGAACTACAAAAACTAGAGCAGCAGTTAAAATGTAGGTCATCTAGATGTAACACATCAGAAATTTTGGCATGAAATCATACGAATTTTCAGTTAATTCAATGCATTTTTGTTTTTTGTTTTATTACTAACTTATACATGAACATTTTCATAGTTAATCTTGCACTGTCTTTTGCTAGTGATAGTTGAAGATGAATTGGTCCAAATGAAAAAGCTGAAAGAGTTGGAGAAGGACAGAAATTTAATTTACCAGTTGCCTCAGACTGACTCAGAGTTTAAATGGTAAGTTAATTATATATCGTAGTATTTTGTTTTAAAAAATATTCTAAATCATTTTTAAGAAAGTTTGTACAGGCAATGTAAGTTTCAATTTAAACCATTTACAAGTATCTGAACTTTGTGGTTCTTCTTTTTCAGTTTACCACAATAATAATAATAATAAGATAATAAATAACCACTAGCAGTGTTTTACATCCATGCTACAATATTTATATTAAGGTTACATGCAGAATTAGAAAGTGCAAGGGAGGACAAACTTGAATGCTTGTGCAATGCACTTCAACAGGAGTTGCAAGAACTTCAGCAGCAGCAGTGGCAGAGGCAGTTACAGATGCAGAAGCTAAAACAACAACAAAATAGACAAAGACTAGCCTTAAAACCACAAGATAAATTTGTTGAACAAGTAAAGTCCAGAGCTCTTTCACATAAGTTACTATGTACAAGGAGCTTTTCCTTTGTTATGCATACCAAAAAAAGAGAACTGTTACTGATATTTGTAAGGTTGTGCAATGGACATCTTTTAAGGTCTTATATTACATTACAAGTTGATGAATAGTGGATCAAACATACTACAACCATATAAATGTTAAATGATAAACATACCGGTAGAAATAAATATTACATAATTGATTTTATCACAGGCATCAAACTGTGCAGCTAAAAACCATTCTACAGAACTGAAGTCTGGACCAGCATTTGCAGTTTTATCTTCTTCTATGCCATCATCAAACCCAATCACAGATGGCATAACAGAGGGAACCGGACCAAATGGGTCCCAGCATTTTAATAGACAAGTTTGTTATAGGAGAGGTTTGTCACTGAAGATTGATTTACAAAGTAAAAAGAATATGCTGTTCATTTACTTACTGGTTATTTATATAATAATCAGATACCCAATATTATTAAGAATGTTCCATTGTATCAGGCATCTGCAAATTACCTGGATAATGGAAAACCACAAGTTTTTCAAACATGTATGTGGACAAGATAAAAAAAATGCAATTAAAAGATATTCAGATTATCATCAGAATGAAAGTTTCTGCAATTTACAATTACAGGAGTAAAACGAAGTCAACGGGTATCACAAAGTGGAACAAGCCAGCCAGTCCCTGCAGGAGAATATGAACAGAATATATTCATATCAAGGACTGTGGCTAAAGATGCTGAAGGGTAAATATGAGAAATTCCCTCTATTGCATTTTCCTACCTAAATAACGATTTTAAGATCTCCTCTACAGAATTAAGAGAAGACTCTAAGTCTTGATTTGTCTTGTTGCATGCATTAAAATTTTTGTGGTCATTTTATTCAGTTTTACAGAACAGACAAAGAAGATACGTTTCAAGTGAGACTAAGAATAATGAGCAAGATGATACTGGTACTATGGAAAAAATCAACAAATAACACCAAGTTAATATTTGCTGTAAAGTTCTGGAACCAAAAATTTTTTTTAAAGCACAAGAAAAAATAAAATGCCACATATTGGCTAATGCAAAAATAATTACATAATTTATCAAAACAGAACTACTGAAAAACCAATATATATATATATATATATATATATATATATATATATATATATCACAGGCAAGATAAAAATCAGGCAGATTTAAATAACACCAAGGTGAGATTGAAATTTCAATCTTGCGTAGGTGGATGTAAAATCTGCCAGGATTTCGATCTTGCCTGTGACATTTTCACAATTTTAAAAACTGCCCTTGCTGGTGATGAATTGCACAAGTCAGTTACACCAATTCAGAATAAGCATGGAATCATATCTAGCTTACGTAATATTTCATATTATTCATTTGATCCAATTTGTCTTAAAATTGAAAAATAAATCTTTAATAAGTCAATTAGTTATTTTTATTTACTTGTATTGAATAAACCAAGATATTTTAGCTGTACCTAGGTATGCAGTTTTATGTTATGTCAAAAACATTTTTCAACCTAGTTAATCAGTTTATCATCTCTTCCTCCAAGATTGATAGCGAGTCAAAATTTTGTGCAAGTGCAGCATGGTTAATGTGCCTTTTCTTTCTTCTACACTTTTTTTTTTTTTTTTCAAATAATACATAAGACAAGTTCAGTACCAACAATATACGTTTAATCAGCAAAAACAGAATTAACAATAATTACTTAAGAACTGTAAAATGGATTCTGTTGCAATCAATTGCAATAAAACATCAAGTTAATTTTTATGCTTTCAAAATACATATTAATGTATATTATCCCATCTGAAACTGCACAGTAGTGTTTGGTTAAGTACTGATTGTTTGACCAGGCCAGTAGCAGGCACTTAAAAAGGGATGGTTTTCTGAAAAAAAGGGTACCTTTTACCACAAGTTACAAGTACTTAGTACTTTAGTCAAAATTTTACCAAAGCAGATAGGTACTTGCTTAATTTGCATATTTAAATTGTAATAACATTTAAAAGGTTGATGTTTCTTGTAGAATAATAATAATATTGCAATATTAATGGTGCATGTCCATGGCACTGGGTAACAACAATGGGACATGGGCATCAAAATTTCAACATGGCACTGATGAGCACACTTTCTGCTTAGAATATGCATCATATTTTGCTTTATATTCATAAATTTTGGAAAAAGTAAGAGTAAACAAGAGTCCCTTAACTTCACAAATTTGGGAAAGCACACCGCGATCCTGAATATGTGTGCCCCAGATTTAAGGGCTGTTAGAGTGTCATTTCAGATAAGAATTAAAAAGTCAAAAATACACAGCAATGTTTGGAAACACAAAATTGTCTGTTATAACAAGACAAATCCATCCTGTTTCACATGAAAGCACCCCCATTGTAATCCAACACATACAAGTATTTTGACAGACTTTCAAAAATGATAACCCATTGTTACCCAGTACTGTGGATGTGCACAATGTGAATACCCAATTTCCTAACACATTATTTTTCTAATGATCACTAAACAAAAGTTTTTTCCTCGTAAAAGTTAAAATTTATTTTGATTTAACAAACTAATATTGGACCTACATCATATACAAAATTGTATTGCATACCATTATTACCTTCACTATTTCCCTCTTTATATAGCAATCTTCATATCCATGAAGTGCTTTAAGAAGGCAGGAGAGTATTTGCTTCTATCTTTAACTTAAACTATTATGATTGTGTTTACTTTTAAGTTTATATTAAAATCAATGCATAATTTTTTTTTCCACAAAAACTGTCAGCATGCAATAAGTTTCTGGCATAATTTTAACAAAGCCGACATCTATCTCATTTTTATCATCATTATTAATATATAATGTTTATATAAGTATATAATGTTTATATAAGGGCCATTCCGTGGTATTTGGTCCGCAGACGTCAAAATTTGAAAAAGGAATCCTACTTATAAAACTTATAATTTCTGAAACCAGACACCATAAGACACCAGAATCCAAAAGAAATTTTAGGTTCTGATGATTAATTATGATTTTATTGACACTTTTATCTGGAAAACTTATAAAATAGTGTCACGGAAGGACATTTTTATTTTTGATATATTTTTCATAATAGAGATCATTTTAAACAATAAAGGCTAAATACATTAAATATAACTTATTTCTTACATTTAGTCAAGTGCATTAGATTAAAAAATATTTGATTATAAAATAATGGATTAATTAATATCAATTTGTCCTTCCGAGATGATTTTGGTACCTATTTTTTAAGTTTTCTCAGTAACTACAAAAGCTAAAAACTTATAACTTCATATTCTCCTCAACCATGATAGGGGCCAACAAAATATGAAAACATTTTTGCTTAGAACCACTTCAATAAGAAATTAAATCCAAATATATAAGCATTAAACATGACACCTAGCAGAGTGGAAGCACGTATGAGGCATTTTGATTGGACCATAACAGGTCATGTGACCAATGAGCCCTAAACCCTTATGTCTTTCAAGATAATCTTGAACTTAAAATTCACAATTATTATATATATAAGCCTTTTTAAACTGAGAAACATTTCATTTGAATGAATAATTTTGAAGTTATTATAATTTAGACAATTGTTTATATTTATAATTAATAGATTTGGTAAGATTTTCTCTTAAAATGTCTCAATATTATTTAAAGATGATCAGAGCAGATGAGAACTTATATTATAGTCAAAATTAGTAACATGTTTGAAGATGAAATACATTACCATAGAAGGACATGTTTACCTTTGATATTATTCATCAAACATATGCTGGTATGTATTCATAAAATATTTTTATTAGCCTTATTTTACATTTTATTTAGCAATGGACAAAACGTCCTTCCGAGATGCGTCCTTCCATGACGCCTACTTGATTTTTTTATATGCAAAATTTTCAAATTTATTATTTTTTTTCCAAAAACATTTTAATACACTGAGAAAGTGAAATAATCAAATATTTATATTTTGATTTAACTTAAAAAATATATACACAGACGGAGCAGAATTTTAGTGTTGAAGTTGAAAGTTAAAATTCCATGTCCATTTCACGTCCTTCCGAGATGCTAACTATTTATTATAATTTTTTCATAACTATAATTATTTTAAACCTAATTTTTTTGCCTAATTATAACTTACATATAGAAAAACAAACATACAAAAAATGGACCTTGTAACTTGTTTACTTTTGAAAATATTTTCATTTGAAGTGTCAAATGTCCTTCCGTAACAGCAAAAAAATACCACGGAATGGCCCATAAGTGTATAGGTAAACATCTTGAGCTTTTTTAACACAACTTCTGATATGCTTTTTACAGTGTCAGAAAGTTGCTAGTGAACTGGAATAATGTCAAGAATTATCATGGCCAGCATGTCAAGCTATAAATATATTAAAGATCCCCTAAATGCTAAATATGATATAACTTAGGGCAATACATAGACATCATTCAGAAAAAAATTACTAGTATAACGTCATTCATTCATGCATTAAGTCTTCAGTTTCGCAAATAATTTTACCTTTTGTGTGCTTGTCCTCTTCATGCTCCAGTTGGCACAAAAACTATATGGTTGGAATATATTAGGCAACAACATGATAACAGACCAGGATGTCTAAAACATTCTAAACAATTACAAAATAAGGCTGCCATGTGAATAACTCTAGATGCTGTTATTCATGAGTTTTTTAAATCTGTGACAGTACTACACTGTACTTCAAACCCCTGAACATAAGCATTTTCCCCCAACATTAAAATCGTTCATCATTCATCTTGGCTCACAGTATATATATATATATATCAATTTGCTACTTTTCCATCAAATTGGCATGGTCAGAAAGATTGTATTTATAGGTACAAACAGTATGCCAGAGTGAATCCAAGAACAACAAAAATTACTATACTTCTATTTTCCATATTTTTTCAAATGTAGAAGCATGAAAAATCAATAACTCAGGGTGCAAGTATACACTTCCAATTGAAAATACTTTAGAACTGGAATGTATGCAAGTGGAAACATTGACAATGTTGTTTAAAAATTTTCTACCACTTGGATTCATTGTCAACTAAAATCACTTCATTTTTGAATCATATCATAATTCCCTTCCTCAGGATCTTCATACACATCTGGATCTGCTCCTACAGTATAATAATCTTCAATTCCACCAACTACCTCTGCTTCATGGTATCCATCACCAGTACTGTACATTAGGTCAGGGTCCTCTTCTTCACCACTGTTGGTTTGCAAGCGACCATAAGTAGCATCAACTGGTGGCTTTTTTCCCTTCCCAACCCTAATGTGGTCATACTCAACATCTTGAGCATGGTCACTGGAAACAACTGTCTTTTTACCTTGTGGAATCAGTACTGGGTTTGGTTTCTTTTTCACTGTCTTGTTAGTGTGCAATGCTGCTGGTGGTTGATAATGTTCCTCGTGAAAGTGATCATCAGTTTCTGCATGCTGTTTCCAGGCATTGTCTTGGANTATCACAGGCAAGATAAAAATCAGGCAGATTTAAATAACACCAAGGTGAGATTGAAATTTCAATCTTGCGTAGGTGGATGTAAAATCTGCCAGGATTTCGATCTTGCCTGTGACATTTTCACAATTTTAAAAACTGCCCTTGCTGGTGATGAATTGCACAAGTCAGTTACACCAATTCAGAATAAGCATGGAATCATATCTAGCTTACGTAATATTTCATATTATTCATTTGATCCAATTTGTCTTAAAATTGAAAAATAAATCTTTAATAAGTCAATTAGTTATTTTTATTTATTCTCCCATGTTGATTACTTGTATTGAATTAACCAAGATATTTTAGCTGTACCTAGGTATACAGTTTTATGTTATGTCAAAAACATTTTTCAACCTAGTTAATCAGTTTATCATCTCTTCCTCCAAGATTGATAGCGAGTCAAAATTTTGTGCAAGTGCAGCATGGTTAATGTGCCTTTTCTTTCTTCTACACTTTTTTTTTTTTTCAAATAATACATAAAACAAGTTCAGTACCAACAATATACATTTAATCAGCAAAAACAGAATTAACAATAATTACTTAAGAACTGTAAAATGGATTCTGTTGCAATCAATAAAACATCAAGTTAATTTTTATGCTTTCAAAATACATATTAATGTATATTATCCCATCTGAAACTGCACAGTAGTGTTTGGTTAAGTACTGATTGTTTGACCAGGCCAGTAGCAGGCACTTAAAAAGGGATGGTTTTCTGAAAAAAAGGGTACCTTTTACCACAAGTTACAAGTACTTAGTACTTTAGTCAAAATTTTACTAAAGCAGATAGGTACTTGCTTAATTTGCATATTTAAATTGTAATAACATTTAAAAGGTTGATGTTTCTTGTAGAATAATAATAATATTGCCATATTAATGGTGCATGTACATGGCACTGGGTAACAACAATGGGACATGGGCATCAAAATTTCAACATGGCACTGATGAGCACACTTTCTGCTTAGAATATGCATCATATTTTGCTTTATATTCATAAATTTTGGAAAAAGTAAAGAGTAAACAAGAGTCCCTTAACTTCACAAATTTGGGAAAGCACACCGCGATCCTGAATATGTTTGCCCCAGATTTAAGGGCTGTTAGAGTGTCATTTCAGATAAGAATTAAAAAGTCAAAAATACACAGCAATGTTTGGAAACACAAAATCGTCTGTTATAACAAGACAAATCCACCCTCTTTCACATGAAAGCACCCCCATTGTAATCCAACACATACAAGTATTTTGACAGACTTTCAAAAATGATAACCCATTGTTACCCAGTACTGTGGATGTGCACAATGTGAATACCCAATTTCCTAACACATTATTTTTCTAATGATCAATAAAAAGTTTTTTCCTCGTAAAAGTTAAAATTTATTTTGATTTAACAAACTAATATTGGACCTACATCATATACAAAATTGTATTGCATACCATTATTACCTTCACTATTTCCCTCTTTATATAGCAATCTTCATATCCATGAAGTGCTTTAAGAAGGCAGGAGAGTATTTGCTTCTATCTTTAACTTAAACTATTATGATTGTGTTTACTTTTAAGTTTATATTAAAATCAATGCATAATTTTTTTTTCCACAAAAACTGTCAGCATGCAATAAGTTTCTGGCATAATTTTAACAAAGCCGACATCTATCTCATTTTTATCATCATTATTAATATATAATGTTTATATAAGTATATAATGTTTATATAAGTGTATAGGTAAACATCTTGAGCTTTTTTAACACAACTTCTGATATGCTTTTTACAGTGTCAGAAAGTTGCTAGTGAACTGGAATAATGTCAAGAATTTTCATGGCCAGCATGTCAAGCTATAAATATATTAAAGATCCCCTAAATGCTAAATATGATATAACTTAGGGCAAAACATAGACATCATTCAGAAAAAAATTACTAGTATAACGTCATTCATTCATGCATAAAGTCTTCAGTTTCACAAATAATTTTACCTTTTGTGTGCTTGTCCTCTTCATGCTCCAGTTAGCACAAAAACTATATGGTTGGAATATTTTAGGCAACAACATGATAACAGACCAGGATGTCTAAAACATTCTAAATTACACAATAATAACAATTACAAAATAAGGCTGCCATGTGAATAACTCTAGATGCTGTTATTCATGAGTTTTTTTAAATCTGTGACAGTACTACACTGTACTTCAAACCCCTGAACATAAGCATTTTCCCCCCGACATTAAAATCGTTCATCATTCATCTTGGCTCACAGTATATATATATCAATTTGCTACTTTTCCATCAAATTGGCATGGTCAGAAAGATTGTATTTATAGGTACGAACAGTATGCCAGAGTGAATCCAAGAACAACAAAAATTACTATACTTCTATTTTCCATATTTTTTCAAATGTAGACACATGAAAAATCAATAACTCAGGGTGCAAGTATACACTTCCAATTGAAAATACTTTAGAACTGGAATGTATGCAAGTGGAAACATTGACAATGTTGTTTAAAAATTTTCTACCACTTGGATTCATTGTCAACTAAAATCACTTCATTTTTGAATCATATCATAATTCCCTTCCTCAGGATCTTCATACACATCTGGATCTGCTCCTACAGTATAATAATCTTCAATTCCACCAACTACCTCTGCTTCATGGTATCCATCACCAGTACTATACATTAGGTCAGGGTCCTCTTCTTCACCACTGTTGGTTTGCAAGCGACCATAAGTAGCATCAACTGGTGGCTTTTTTCCCTTCCCAACCCTAATGTGGTCATACTCAACATCTTGAGCATGGTCACTGGAAACAACTGTCTTTTTACCTTGTGGAATCAGTACTGGGTTTGGTTTCTTTTTCACTGTCTTGTTAGTGTGCAATGCTGCTGGTGGTTGATAATGTTCCTCGTGAAAGTGATCATCAGTTTCTGCATGCTGTTTCCAGGCATTGTCTTGAATATCTTGTGGTTGGGAATATATTGTTCCTTCTTTATCTGGTTTTGGTTTCAGGGGGGGCTTTGGCTTTGGTTTGGGTTTGGGTTTGTTTTGTTGTTGAACTTTTAATTTGTCTTCTAATTCTCTGGCAAATCCTGTGGCCCCTTTACTACTGACCTTGTTATCTGATCTTGTGTACCTTCTGTCAGGAAGCTCAGGGGATGGGGATGTTGTAGAAATGGATGCAGTTCTTTTCTCAGCAGTTTGTTCTTTGATTTGTCTTAACCTGTCATTGATAAGCAAAAATATATCGTTTCCCTCCTTTGTAGCAAGTGAAAAAAGTCCTTCACCAGAGTTGCACTTTCGCCCTGCCTCAAACTGGAAGTTGGTTTTGCTGCGACCATACCGTCTGATAAATCTAAACGGCCAAATATACTCCACTCTGCCTGTGTGAAGATTGACCATGGAAATGTTCATGGCATTTACATGTAAATCATAGTCACCTGTGAGTCTACAGCGCCTAGAAACTTCATTGTCAACTATTTTTATTCTAAATACCCCAGCTGAAAAAAGAAGAGAATATCAAATGAAAACAATGTCAACATAAAGTATACACACACAAAAAAAACAAAAAAACAGAAAATAAAACTTGTAACTTGTAGATCACGAGGTTATTTATATAATACACTATATATATATATATATATATATGTATCTATCTATACTAGTACATGTAGAACTACATTGATTTTATATTATTCCCAACAAAATATGTGCCAAAAATAATGTGCTGGGATATGGTCAAGTGTTGCAAATATTTAATTTTATAAGAAGAAATTTTTTTCATTTCAACATTTCAATTCTACAGTTTGACCTGATCTACAAAAACTGGAATCACGAGCTGAAAGAGAAAAGTGTGGAGACTTTCAGGACTTTTCTTTAAGTACTTTTCAAATTAATAAGCCAATTTCCTTCTTAAAAACTAGTCAATAACATTTTGCAAGAACATATGCGGTACAAATACTTACGATTTTCAGCACATGCATATAGTGCACTTTCATCAAAATGAGCTTCATCAGAGTTGAGACTAGTCATGGATTCTCCTTTTTGCATTGTTTGCTGACAATTGGTATAAAGAACTCCTCGGGAAACACAATTCTCAATTGTTCCAACCCACTGACGTAGTTCCTCCTCGCTGTCTGTTGAGAAGAGTTTTGGTTTAACTGATGTGCTAAAGGTCACTTGAAATATAAGTTCTCTTCCACCTGTTGTCTGAGTCTGCTTTATATTCTTAATATCTGACAGAAAGATTGTGCTTTTTTTAAGCTCTGGTCCCTTCTTTTCCTGGTCCTCATAGAAGGATAACCTTGGTGAATCCACACTAGTGCCTGCTGCATAGAGAACACACCACCGTCTAACCCAGGTTTTTCCCTGAAATGTACACCATCTTTTTCGTGAATCACCAGTTGAAGTAGTCAGAGGCAACTCACAAGTCAGTCATAAAAATAGGTGAAAGGATGGTAGCTTATACGTACACCACACCTTAACCAGACATGAACATTTTTATTATACCAGTAACTTCCTGATTACTATAAATTTACGACGTACATGCGATAAATTAGACATACGGCTTGATTCATTAACATACCAGTTTCCAAACAAGTCCACATATCCATCACGGAATGAGATTGAATCGAAGAACAAAAATCACGCAATTAATAAATATATTTTAACGCCAAAGTTTAAAACTGCATCCTTTCAGCAACCGCAGGTTGGGACTAATTTTTAGATCTAGAAAAAGTTGATTTATGATTCATCGGTGATAGTATATCTTTGGTTGACCGAAGGTCAGGAATAGCATGCTATCTATAATGGCCTACTTTACCAATAATTTCCTTGCTGGTTCGACTGGGGTCGGGCATTGACGGCATCAGAACTAAATGCCCTAGTACATGTATACAGTATCTGCGAAATTAAGGAAGTCTCGAAAAGAGTCCCTAAAATATTTTAACATTTGGGACGAAAAATCAAAAACATACCTTAAGTGGTGCATTCAGCCAACAAAACACGTATCCTTCTTTAACAGCCTCCACGGTGGCGTTTTAGCATATCACGGTTTGAATTTTTAGTTTTTATCAAGTACAAACTCTTAACAAGGAAGTAACGTGGAGAACAAGAAATTGTGAAGTATCACGGGTACCCGGAAGTAAAATAATCAATGTTAATGGATTTTAAATGAATATTTGATGATTTACTTATCATATAAAACTAACTTTAAAGTCGTCGCTCCGAAGCTCCTGAAATAGGAAATTTACGTACCTTTTGTTTTACTAGTCATTGACCCAATTTCTTTTACTCTATAGTAGGTCAAGGTCGAACGGTGGGCAACGTTGATGGCACGCTAATCTTGTGTTGTGCTTAATATTGTAGTTCATCCTATTTTGAAAATGCCTGCTGGGCTCTGAAGTTCAAGCCTTAACTGTTTTAGCAATGGAGAGAAAAAGGGTAGGCTCACTTAGTTTCTAAGATTATAGTATATAATTACTAACCCTTTCGAATATTTAGTATGGGTTTAGTATTTCAAAAATCGAAATACATTGGTACATGTACATTACCGGTACAATCCTACCCAGAACGCAATGCACATGATACCCTAGAACATGTAGACTACGCAGCTAAGGGATTGTAATATTGAATATACTGTTGGCATGTTATTTTTATAGCACCATGAAGAAGCAAGCAGCGAATCTGATGATGAGAATTATGTGCCCTATGTGCCACTTAAAGAAAGACGGAAAAATGAGGTAATTTCACTGTTATGTGCCAATGTTGAAACTGCTTGCTATCTGTATATATAGGTTGAGCGCTTCAGGTAGTCTGCCTGCCTAAATGCAGAAGTTCTCAAATCTTTTTCAAGATTATCTTTCACATTAAGGTGCATACTGCTAAAAGGCCAACCAATTTTGCTGTCAACAATGCTGTGAATAAACTAAAATGCATCAGTTCGACATCATGCAGTTCAGCTTTGTCACATTGAAATCATACACCCATTGAAGATCACTATAACCAAACTTTTTAATGTGAGGAAAAAGTCAAATTATGTTTTCTACCTGAAAACAATTAAACCACTGTTCAGAACACGCTCGGCTGTCACCTTGATTGGATAGTAAACGATTGTCGTAAAATCGCTAAATGATATTAAAATCCGGTGCATAAACTTGAAAACCACCTAGGACAACCTTAGGCTGCCACATTAATCCAATACAACGCAAAAATAAACTATAACAAGTGGTTAAAGCCTTCAAACTGAATGTCGTAAAGTCCCCATATACCTCCATAGAGACAATAAAATAGAATGAGCTTCTGAAACAAACCTGATCNATGAATTGATAAAGTTGTTTTTTCCATGTAATCAGGACTGCAATGCAAGAGCTTGTTTTTTTTTTTTCATTTTTTTTTTTTTTTTTTTTGGTTTGGAAAAAATCTTTTATGATACTGATCTGCAATGGATGTATAAACTCACAGTTGCATCACTGGTTTGTGAGCAGATGAATCTAACCTTATTCACCGTGCAAATTCCGGTGGTTAAAAAAGGTTGTCATTTTAGCAGTGTGTGACTTCAGAAAGTGAGAGGGAAGAAAAATATTTGAGAACCTCCTAAAATGGAGTTAATTTACTAGCTGAACTTCATTTTACAGTTATTTATACCTAACACATGTCTAAAACATTATTTTTTTCTTCCTTTAAGTAACTGTGGGGAGGTATTGTACTAAAGTATCGGTGGACAGACAGAATTTTCAGAAATTGTCTCAAATGCCATTTTAAATCATTGGCTTTTATTAATTAATTAATTAATTTATTTATTTATTTATTTATTTATTTATTTATTTATTTGTCTTTGTTTTGTAAAAATCTTCTATGGAAAAACATTAAATCTTATGTAGTTGATTTCAGCCTCTTAAGTTTAGAACGTAAAAGTTGTTGATCTCATGGAATAAAAAGTGGTTTTCATGTCTGTTGTAAATCAACTGTCATGATGGTATTTTAGCATAGTGTTTCTATTTGCAGTTAATAAAAAAGCAAACCAAAACTGACATGAAATTTCTTCTTAATTCTTGCAGATTTTAAAAGTCACTAAGAAGCTTGGCCGAGCTGGCAGACTTCTTCAAGAAGAGGAAAAGAAGGAGAGCACAGATGATGGTGGGATGCAAGATGAAGAAGAAGAGATCCAGGTTGGTCCTAATGCCAACATGAGTCTGCTGGACCAGCACAGTGAACTTATTAAGAAGGCAGAAGGTAAATGTGGAACTTACATTTAGCATGAAAGCTATCTCTAAGTTTGTTCTTGATCAATGAAAAGCTGTTAGTTGCACTTCTTAAGCATTTGTTGCTTGACCCATTTGGCCAAACGTACAGTTATACAGCAGTATTTATTTTATGTCATCTGTAGCTGGATGCTGCGTTTTTTAGTGAATTCTCAGTCAAACAAAATATTTTAATAGAAATGTTATGCCTGTTTTAAAACTGATTTGTAAATTTTCATGGACAACATTTATTCTGTTCTTGAATATAAATATTTTAGTGGAGTTTAGACAAAAGTTTCTTGTTTTTCAAACTTTTAATGATTTTTCAAATATCATATGCATTTTAATTTCAGCTAAAAAGGAATCAGCAAGAGAAAAATTATTAAAAGAAGAAGAAAGAATATTAGAAAGTGTTGCTGAAAATAAAGGTATGCTATCAAATGTTCTCAGAAATGAAAAGTGTAGTCACTGTTTGAAAAATTTGTTAAGTCTGCTGTCTGAAACCAAAGGACATACATTCATTTTAAAAAATGGCACACTGATGTAAAAAAAAAAAATTTGAAACCAACTCTGTTTCTATTTCTCATGGTTTCTGTTTATAATTCAGCTCTCATGGGTGTGGCAGAATTAGCTAAAGGAATCCAATATCAGGATCCAATAAAAACTGGGTAAGAACAACTTTGAGTGCATTCAGAAAAACGGACTAATAGATCTGCGGATCAAATATGGCGACCCACTAAAAGCTTAATTTCCAATTAGACACTGAATAGATTCCCCGCGGGGATTACACATCAAGTATTCAAGTGGGTCGGCCATATTTGATCCGATGTTCTGTTAGTCAGGTGTTCTAAATGGGATCTTACACATTAGTCTTTTTAATTATTATATGAAGGTGTATACCATGAAGAAGATGTTACATACATGTATTTATAGATAACTATAAACTATCTATAAGCAACTGAAAATAAAGTTACACAAATTAATCAACAAAGCTTTCTTTGCCATGGCATTTAAATTACAATAATTTACAGATGGACTCCGCCTCGTGCTATTTTGGCAATGCCAAAGGAAAGGCACCAACGTATGCGAAAAAAGATGGAAATTCTTGTTGAGGGAGAAGACATTCCTCCTCTCTGTATCACATTCAAGGTAAGAGCAGCTACTGAAGTGAGTCACTTCATATTCAAAACTCAACCTCGACATGTTTTTTCCCAAATAATATGAAAGTGAAAATACAGGCCATTCTGAATGACTTTGAGTAATTTAAAAATCATAGCATCACCTGCACTTCTATTAAATAGGAAATGAAGTTCCCACACATTATTTTGAAAGCACTGAAGAAAAGAGGAATAGAAAAACCAACCCCAATACAGATGCAAGGTATCCCAGTTGTGTAAGTATTGCCTTTCAAAGTGTGATATATTGTATGTGGCTGATTTGATTTGTAGATTTATTCATGTGTAACATTATCTGCATCACAGGTATTTGATCCCTTACCTTCTTATTGCTTTTACAGATGATAAAACAGCTGGATCTTTTTCTACTGCAATTAACGGTTAATGGTAAGGGTTTGTAGTAAAAACATGATCAGCAAGCACCATATTTCTGACTTTTTCTTTGCAACCACCTTTCCAGATTAATGGGCCGAGACATGATTGGTATTGCATTCACAGGTTCTGGAAAAACTCTGGTATTTGCATTACCTATTATCATGTTTTGCCTTGAACAAGAGAAAAGATTACCATTTGTGAAAAACGAAGGACCATATGGACTCATTGTCTGTCCATCAGTAAGTGTCAAGAAAATTAATCTCCAATAAAACCTTGTTAGTTGTCTCTTCTGTACCTTAAATGTCAGAGTAGTTACTAATCCAGTGAATGTGATTTGCATACATGGAGATTCCAAACATATGAAATGGTATCACTTATGCTTGAAAACTACGTGACTGCAAACATTTGCCATTTGCTAACTGTTCTAAAGCCACTTTACTGTTTGAAGTTTTGCTGGGACATTTATCCTGTTGTTTTATGTTTCATGAGTTCTAGGTTTAAGGAAATTATTTACACCATCCATTGCTTTTGAGAATGTGAATTTTTTTTTTTATATATTCTTGATACAGGGATTTGGTTTGTGGAAAAAATAAAATTTACTTTTAATTATTATAAAGATGACTATGATGCAACATTAAACTTACATGTACCAATTTGCTTTTGTTTTTCAGCGTGAACTGGCCAAACAGACAACAGAAATTATCAATTTCTTTAGCAGACATTTAGTGGAAGATGGTTACCCTGCATTGAAGTGTTTGATGTGCATTGGAGGAATGGCCATCAAAGAGCAGTTAGACATGATAAAACAGTAAGATTACAAACACTTTTGTCCATATGTTAGCATGTGTTCACATGCCCACACACACTTATTTTATTCGTAGCTACACAAACTTAGTACCAGTTCATATGTCAGCAAAAATTAATTCCTTTCAAAGCGCGTTTAATATTCATTACCACTGTTTAAAGCATGTAGGAAATGAGGTTTAGTGTTTAACTGAATCTTCATCTTTAGGGGTGTCCACATTATTGTTGCCACTCCAGGCAGACTAATGGACATGTTGGAAAAGAAGATGGTTAATTTGGATATTTGCCGATACCTTTGCTTGGATGAAGCTGACAGGATGATTGATATGGGATTTGAAGAGGACGTCAGGACAATTTTCTCATATTTTAAGGTATGTAGAATAGTGACAGCACTCTCACATGATTTGAGAAATATGTGATGAGATTACTCATATGGTACCCTTAAGCCTTAAGTTCCTTTTTATTGTTTTCACGATTAAAGAGAATTCATAGTTTTAATATTTTGTAGTGTATTATGTTATTATGCTATTATGCTATATAATAGTCATGATCTTTTAATGGTTTGTTTTCTTGATCTTCAAACTGATATCAGAATTGATGATTATCATATTTCCTGTACAGATATAAGGTAAATTTCATTTTGATTTTCAGACATTCTCAAGTGTCTCACTCTGATTTAATTTTGATTCATTTTCAAATTTTTTATAGAATAAGAAATTGTATCTAACAACTTGCTTTCAGGGCCAGAGGCAGACATTGCTATTCTCAGCCACTATGCCCAAAAAAATCCAAAACTTTGCCCGCAGTGCCCTGGTTAAACCAGTAACTGTCAATGTGGGTCGCGCTGGAGCTGCCAGCTTGAATGTGACACAGGAGGTAGAGTTTGTGAAGAATGAGGCAAGAATGGTCTATTTATTGGAGTGTTTGCAGAAAACACCACCACCTGTAAGCAAACTTTATTTTTTCAACATTGTTACCCTTGATAAAATGTGACAGAAATTAAAATTCATTGCAAATGTTTTCCCCCCATGCATTTAATTTAAAGTCGGCCAATTCCTTGTTTCTCCATATCAGACCATAGATTGCATGATATCAAACAGTTTCCGAGTGGGGAACAGTAGTGATTTTTAATAACATGTATTAATCTTTTTTTCTTTTCAATTATAGGTATTGATATTTGCTGAAAAGAAACAAGATGTGGATGCTATTCATGAGTACTTGTTGCTAAAAGGGGTGGAGGCTGCAGCCACCCATGGCAGCAAAGGTAATTGGACAGAGGTTACTTATTAACCATGTTGTTCTAATAACCGATAATATTAGGATGCATCTCAGGTTTTTAAGGCCATATCATGGAGAAAAAAATATATATCTTTGATGTTATGATTTGTAGATCAAGAAGAGCGCTCATGGGCTGTTGACCAGTTCAGAAAAGGTGCCAAAGATGTCCTGGTGGCTACAGATGTGGCTTCCAAAGGTTTAGATTTCCCTGACATACAACATGTCATCAATTATGATATGCCAGAAGACATTGAAAATTATGGTATGTGAAAATGTCAGTCATTAATTGGATGCTGAAAATGTCGGGCAAATCTCTTTTGTTCCTTAAACGTTTTTTAAAAAATGAAAGTTTAGAGCCTGCATATTCTTTGTATGGTTTGCAATTAAGATTGCTTGATCTATTATACTGAAAAGATACTGATGTGGCTATACACATTGCATGATTACTTATAATTAAGAGAATACTTTTGCAAAGAAAACGATGCCTGTGCAACTTCCCATTACTGTTTTATTTCCCTTTTTAAATTTGCAGTCTTCACCATATTTATGGTTTTCACTTTTTTTTATACCCTCTGTTTGTTGATAATGAAACTGAAGATAGCACGATTATATGAATTTCAGTTCACAGAATAGGTCGAACAGGCAGGTCTGCAAATAGAGGGGTGGCAACTACTTTCATCAGCAAGGCCTGTGGTGAGTCCTGGATATATATATATATATATATATATTTTTTTTTTTTTTTTTTTTAAATTTTCATAATAAATGATCTCAGTGTAATGCACCTGAGATTCACTGACTGGTTTTGTTTCCTGTTGTTTTCACAGCTGTAAGACTTGAAGATTTTTCAAAGTATGAGACAGTAAAAACAAACTTCTCAGGTAAAATGAAGGAAATTATCTCCATTTAATTTGGGGCTTTTTCTATTTGCTTTTATGCTGACTGCTTTCTGTTGATCACCAGTAAACAAACTTTCGTATTCTGATTATTTGACTTCTTTGTACCCATCCAGATGAATCCACCTTACTTGATCTGAAGTACCTGCTGATTGAAGCTAAGCAGAAAGTTCCACCATTCCTGGCTCAATTGGAGGCTGAAAGTGAGAAATATCTAGAAATTGGAGGTAGGTAATGCAGGTGCTCAAAATCAAGTTGGTGTATTTCATTAGGGTATTCAAAGGAGACAACCACATCTCTTCTTGGCCTTTTATACTTAGAATTAACCAGGGGTGAATTTTTGATAACCAGGGGCAGATTCAGAGTTATTTCCTGACAGTCTTCCAAATTATATTTATTGATTCGTTCTTCATTTTTGACCGTCTTCCGACAGAAAAAAATTAGATACCCGCCAATGTAAACTTAAAAATCTGACCGTCTTCCGGAAGATCCAGAAGACGGCCTAAATCCGCCCCTCATAACGGGACTTAATGTTTTGTACAAGCAAAGCAGTATAAATAAGCAGTAAAAGTTCTTAAAGGATTGTATCAGCTATGATATCTTATTCCATCTTTTCTCAAGGCGAAGTTGGTTGTTCATACTGTGGAGGACTGGGTCACAGAATTACAGATTGTCCAAGACTGGAAGCTGTTCAGAACAAAGCTGCACAGAACATAGGCAGGAAGGACTATTTGGCCTCAAATGCTGCAGACTGGTAGCACCTCAAGGGAATTCCAATTCATTTCAAGGGAGATGGCCTAGATATAATACTTATGACTCTGAAGGCATTGTATTTGCCCCTGGGACAGGCCCCATACACACAAGCTAAGGCAAATAGCATTGGTAAAGTGAAGTTGGGACAGCGAGAAAATTTAGATGCGTCTGATTCTGCTAATTAAGAAAGATTATGACAAACCCGAAACAAGCGGACCAGTTACTATGCAATGTAAAATGACTGGAGACAGTTGTATGGCAAAAACCAATCTTTAAAGCCTGATTTTGGTCTTAACAAACCCTTTGTAGTAAAGGTTTTTCACAGCTGGAACTGGTAACTTAGTGCACATCCCCACTTTTGATGTAGTTACCTGTGTATTAACTGTTACTGTTAATATATCGTTTTACATTTTTTAAACAAATGCTGAACATTTAAGTCACTTTTCAAACTAACCACAATATAGTTGAAAGGTAAAGTAGAACAGTTGTTAGTGGGAAACTAGTAAATTAGATATGGATTTACTTAAGTGTAATGTGCACTGCCGAATGTGCACAAATTGTTGCATCAAAAATCATTCAAGTCACCAAATCAGGGTTACTAGAAATGTCAATTCTAAAATTCTACAACTTTTTAAGCAATCACACACATTTTGTTAGCAATTTTTCCAATTTCTGTGGATTGGCACAAATTTCATTGGCTTATCTCAGCTTTTTTGTAAGCCAGGCATGTGATGAAGCTCTACTTATGAAAGAAATCTCACATCATTGCAGTTTTATTGCAACCAATCAAACATCTTTCTAACAGATCTTACTCAAGCCCTGTACAATCGTATAATGCTTTGAAAAAAATGACATTAAATTTAAGATACTCTACCTTTAATTCTTCTGTAAAATAAAACTTGTACAAATAAATTCTTTTTTATGTATATGTTTATTCAATAATTTGTTTTTGGCCACCATATAGTAGAAATCTTGTAGATGTGAAGTAGAATGCCTTGGTCGCCATTAGAAAAGACAATTGTGCAATAGGTAACAAAACTTGAAAAAATAACATGACCAGAGTTTCCATTCTGATTTCTACATATAACAAGCACGGTTCCATGAACCTATAAACCTTTTCTGAACTGAAAATTTTTATCATCTAGATTGTCGACTTCCACATACTGCAGAGAAAGCATGACGTAACAAGTACCCATTTAATTTCAAAGATCCTCTTTCCAGCCAATGGTATATGCTCTTTCAAAACCAGGCACTTCTCTCCATACTATGTGCATCACACCTACATCTTTGTGTACTTTGCTGAACACTTATTAGGAAATTTCTGTGAAACGTTCTACATGAACAAAAACTTAAGAAAGCCCCTCCATTTAATTCTTGCCTCAAGTCTCCTTTTTAAGAAGCAATGTTTTGATCTTGCACAAAAATTGCACATAATAAACTCTGCTACTGGAGCACAATTTGCGATATTTTACATGCATTTACAGAATGCACAGAAATCCAAAAAACATCTACATTGTAACAGTTAAGGCTGCAAGGTTCTTCTTTGCTCCCCAATAACTGCTGAGGTAGTTGCCTACATAAGTGTTACAGCTTTCAGTATCAAAATTCCACCTGGGCACAATTCAAAATCGTAAATGCTATCATTTACTTTTCAAGACAGTTTTGAATGCATTACTACAGATGCATACATGTAAACGTTATTTATACTACTTTGTGTAAAAAGTATTCACTCAATGAAGGTATAATTTCAATGTTTATGCTACATCTGCCAAAAGTGTTATAGCACACATACGTAAGGTTTTGTAGGGTTCAAATGAAACACTGGACTCTTCACCAGACCAACTGCACTTGTAGTTATATGAATGCTCTAAAATCTTAAGTCCCTTCTCGTCTCTGCATAAGGCACCCTCCCCCTTTGAATACTCCCAAGTTTCAATCAATTGTGACCAAAAATTGTCATCACATTGGAATACTTAAACAGCTGCTCCCAGAGCACTTTACATATATAACATATCATGCCGTCACATTAAGCGGTTCAAACACCCGTTCTCTTCTAGAGGGTTCAGATCCAACTCTCCTTCTCGGAATTTGGATGCTTGGTGCGATCCCAAAATCCACCATCTAGGCAGAGGGCTGCAGTCTGGGGAGCAACATAATCACTGCTCCTCAGTGTAGTAAGGCAAGTCACATCTTTGCAGAAAAGCAACTATCATTTGTAAGAAAAAATCCTAAGTTTCAAAGTCACTAGTCTTTGCTTTGGAAAATATACAAATTGTTTGTAGCTGCTACTGCTATTACATTTTCTGATGGATGCCAGCCAGCATGCAAGATTTTCTTACTAAAGTCTAAAGAGTCCACACTTATTTCATCTTTCTTTCTTTTTCCACCTGAGCAAACTTTCCTAGGTTTTAATACTGTCCTTGGTTTCATATTTTCTCGAGATGCTTCCAAAGTTACATCCCTCTTACTCTCCCTATCAAACATGCGGAAGAAATTGTTGTAGGACCCAGTCATGATGTGCCTAAAATAGCAATGAAGAAAATATATGAGAAACTGCAGCAATAATTAACATTATAGGACCTATTTTGGGCAGTAACCCATTGGCCATTTTACACTGATATCCAACTGTTTTATAAATGCAAGATTAATTTGATGGGATCAAAACGTATGTGGAATGAAAATTCAAAAAAAAAAATTGTTTAGGACATTATGTTTGCATAATAAGAGTGGCATTGAAGCCACATTGGTTGCCAGTCCCGTCCTACAAAGCTCAGAGAGAAATTTTGTTTTCAGGCCAAACTACCACTTACTTAATCACAGATCGATTTCTACTTTTGTTGTGTTTGAATTATTTTCCTTCAAAAAATATCTGACAATGAAAGGTCTAAGGTTTGTGCAAGTTTGACAAACATTTCATTTAAAAACAAGCAGAACAGAAGAGCAATTTTCAAAGCATTAAAACATTACCTGTCATCACCACTCCAAGCACACTCAAACTTGTCAAAGATGCAGTCATTTTCATACAGTGAGCACAGCTTACTACGAAGAAATTCATGTACAGGGTATGTTTCTATTGGCTTAGAGTCCATATTCAGATCCCAAACTTTGACAGATAAATAATCACGAGATATTAGGTATCTGCCACTATGACTAAATTTGACATCTGATATACTGGATATAATCTCTGAGAAGAAACTTCGGTTAGTTGGATCCTCTGGCTCTTCAAATACTGCAATAGAAATACAGATATTGACCATACGAAAAATAACTATCTCTCAGAGAGAATAATGATAATCAGATCAATTTACAATATTGGATATTTAAATAAATTAACATCTTTGCAGGTAACTATCACCTAAAACTCTTTTTTTAATGCATGTAACATCAATGTCTGCAGGTAACGGGGCCTGTAATGTACTGTTCATCCATTCAGGCACGTTTACCCTACACTTCAATATGCCTGCCGCTATCATTATGTCATAACACAGCATAGTTAAGCCACACAAATGTCTTGACAGGCATGTCTTCAGGAATATATCAAGGCTTACCAAAGCAGTCCTTGAAAATCATACTCACATTTTGTATGTTGATCACAAAGTGCCCTGGACCTCATGTCACATAACCTTATACTGCCCTTGCTACTACTATATACAAACACGTTACACATGCTTGGGTGGAATTCTGCTGCAGTTATCACTTCATTCAATTCTTCCATATTAGCTGGTTTAATATCAACAATGTCTAAAAATGCTGGTTAAAGAGTCAAACAAAATTTGCATCTTTTAATTATTCCTTATTTTCTACAAAGATGTTTTTTTAATATAAATATTCTCCAAGTCTAATCTGCACATTGTCTACAAAAAAAAGAATCATACAATCTAAAATGCAATAATCAAGGATACTAAAACTTTGGTCGGTAATCTCAAGGTGCCACAGATTAATCCTAAGGTCATCTGCAGACATATAAGTTTCCTGGTCACTGTTGACAGAAATGGAGTTAATATGGTAGGTGTGTGCATTAGCAAACACACGACGTGGACTAGCTTCAACCATCAATTCCATAGGTTTGAGAATTGGCACCCGCAGTGCTTTTACAGATGTAGGGTCTCGCAACATGCCAGTCTCATCCTTTGTGTTGAAACCTTCTGGTCGCTTGTCTCTCTCTGAAATCTTCCATAATTTGATTGTTTTATCTGAAACAAAAACAAGTAAAGGTTGTCTAAGAATATATTCAAACAGAAAAATGGACACAGTGTCTACCATTATTAAATACATCTGTTTGCAGGTGAAAGGACCTGCAAAGTACTGTCCATCCATTCAAGCACATTTACCCCACACTTCAATATGCCTGCTGTTATCATTATGCTATAACACAGCACAGTTACACCACACAAATGTCTTGACAAGCATCCCCTCGCCAAGGCCCTTATAAAATAAAACAAATTGTTTATTTCTTTTAAATAGTTTCAGACACGCTCCTACCATTTGTTGAAAGCAAGAAATTGGCTGGATTGGCTCTCCTTAACCATCTTATTTTGTTGATCTTTTCTTCAATTTCTAAACTCTTCAAGTAATCAAACTCTGGTTCATGACTCTGGAAAGTGCTATACACATTGTATTCCCCACGATGAGTCTGGTTGGCTTTGCCCTATGAAATGCAAAAAAAGCTTTTGTAGTGTTATTAGGGGACTACTGCATTTTAGACTGCATTCAGCCTGAGCCAGACCAACTAAGAATGCAAACAGTCTAGCAATCTTTGACAGGCTGATTATATATTTAATTATACTGCAGCTCAATATATTAACTCTTGTCTGTGATGCTTTGAGGCCATTACTTGGTTTAACTTGTACTGTATGTGAATGGCAGATAAAAAGTAGCAGCAAGTCAAAAGTGAATAAAAGAATGTAGAAAGCAAACCCATTTAAGTCTTTAAATATCTGTTCAAAATTATCAAAGGCTAATAAATCTCAACTTTGAAATCAAAACATACATATATCAACGACTGGCTGACTCCAACTACTGATTTGTCAGGAAGCATATCTTACAGTTGGCATAAAGTAATGCACATAAATAACTCTGGTAGCACAATCAATCATTTTATAAAAAAGATCCCCAAATCTTAAAAGTTGTACTTATCCATTAATTGGAAATGTGCACCATTTCAAATAGCTACTCTATTTTATGCATAACCGAAGGAATAGTAGGCTTTTGTCCTAAGATAACACTTAACTAAAGCTAAGCAAAGGATAATGTGGCACTCTTTATTATACAAAATAGAAGTTGTGGTTTTCGATTCTAATTATTCTATTATGAACACCATATCTATGTGGACTGCTTTTTAATGGTTATTTTCTCATATCATACAACATCATAGTGGCAATGACAGAAATACCAGGATATGGACAAAAACATCAGTTACCAGGAATGGTGTGATGTATAAGACAAACAGTTAGGAAGAATAGTGACAGTAGTAGTACCGAAGAAAAGATTGTTGCCACTTGAAAATATTTTTTAAATAACTCATTATTTACTAAAAGGAACACAAACAGTACAAATGCAACTAAAACCACATACTGTCGCAACTTAATATATATATATATCAGTGAAGTTGGATTGTTACAATTCTGTGGGAATACTGTTCACACACAGAGCACGACCAGGCATTCCCTTACTAAATAGTCAGCTGCTGACCACCCTTCAGATGTGCTCACCAACTCATCACGCTGGAATATGACAACACGTCCTCCCTTGTCACCCGTGGCTAAGAGCTCTCCATCATGGTTGAATTCCACACAGGAGATGATGTCAGCTAGAAAGAAAGAGGAAAAGGTTACCCCATTTAACAGATACTAATACATAAACAAAACACAGTAGATGTTGAACCGTTGATGCTGATGGATTGCTGCTGGTTTATTGGATTTACAAGGTTTCAAAGGCAGATTGTTCCAAGGACACATTTGCATTGGAGACCGTTTAACTGTGCAGGGTGCAAATTGAGCAGCAAAGATCTTACTCAATGCCACTGTTAACACAATATTTCTACTTCTGGGACATCAATAAACAGAGAATCATGGCTAAAAGCATCTAGATCAATCATTTTACTTTCATTTGCTTGTATGATGGCCTCTACGTTCAAGTCAGCTACAAACTATAACTCATACTGTAATGACAATAACATCTCTGTTTAGGAATGAAACATTACTAAGTCACTTTATACAAGTCAGCATTTAACTTCCCATTAATATGGCTCATCCCACTCAATTCTGCAGTTACTGATAAGTTGCACTATACTTAAAAGTAAACAGGAAGCCTTTATTTTTTCATCATAAAGACAACTCTATGACCTTTACAACCTAGAGCACCTATCACTGAACATTTGTCTGAGATGATGCCATCATTATGGCATTAAAGACAACCTTCATTATATATCTTATGATACCCTTGCAGATTCTAAAAAAACAATTTTGTGGCAATCTGTGTAATGTTCGTACTTCTACAAGATACTAGGATACTAACAGACAGGTGCAAGCCATATGTCTAGGGGACTTGCTCAATTTCTACATACTACTCTACAATTTAACATATACATGACATTGCAATACTACATTCCCCGTTCCATTCAGTACTTGTTTCATTCTATCATATCTAATTTTCACGAAAGCATTACAAGACATCTAACAATGGGCAATAAATATCTGATGTTGTTTTTGTCAAAATAATCCAATATTACAATAAAATTATTTGACTTTTAAGTAAATGATTAAAAATTATAAAACATGCATAATGATGTACACTTGGACTTATAAAATGAGCCACACTTTTACTGCATTTTTTAGTTATTTTTATTAGGACATGCATGCCAGATTCATTTGTAATATAACATCATTTAAGTCTTCTTCAGTAATACAAAGTATTCTCCAAATTAAGAATGTATAAGGGAAGAATGCAATTTGAAAACTTGGAAGCACCTACAATGCAGACCTCTGCTATGTGAAGAGGCCTTAAAACATTCTTCAAAAAATTCTTTTACATGATAAATACTAGGAGACCCTAATTCAGTTAAAATTGTAGAACGTATTTCTTTACCAAATAAATATGGCTCTATTCTAAAAATTTATCAAAATCTATCCATTTACAAACTATTGTCTACAAAAACACAACCTTCTTTTTTGGCAGAGGTAAACATCAAACAAGCCCCTTCACTTCTTTCAACTGAGGCTTACACTCACTTTTTATAAATGAACTGACATTTTCATCTTCAAACAGAACCGTAACATGACAAACAAATGGGATTTACAAGACATGACAGCTCTCTAAACCGACAGTTGCATGATAGTAAAGGTACATATCTGATTTAACTAGACATGTTTTCTTAAAATAAATGCGTTTGATATTAATTTAGTTGACGGGAAGTGTTTCTTAATAGTACTTAAACATTCAATCACAAGACTACAGTACCGGCTGAAACTTGGTACCCACCTTCAGTAACATCTTCTTCTACTGTGCCTTTGACCTGAGAAAAGCACCACTGAATATCACCCCCATTCGCTGAAAATAGAAAACAAACGGTTATACAAAATGCAAAATATGACATCTTTATAAAATCCAGAATTCACGTTGACGAAAGAATGTATTCTTCCTGTCGGTGTCAGTGTCAATGGGGTGTATGGGGAGTAGTTCAATTTGAGGATGCATTTACCACTATACCTGTCATCATAGAGCATCAGTTTGTGGTTTCTGCCACAAAAAAATCCCTGATGTAGGCTTGGGAGTTGAGCAAATTAATCAGTAACCGCTGTTAGGCACGATGGTGGCCGATTTGAGACTCACTTCCCAGCCAACGGAATTTCAAAATGGCGCACCTCGATTTCATGACGTCATTACTATGCATCCCGTAGGATTGTGGGAATGGAAGGAAAATGATGGATGCGGTGCTGTACACCCGTGAGATAAACTTATTGATTATAAATCATAAATGTAAACGGGCGAGTAAAAAAATAACTTTGAGTAGAATGCATTGCAAAAAAAAATGCTGTATACATATGACTAAAATATCTGTTACTCAATCACAATGACGCACATAGTTTTGATATGAAATTATAGAATTTTTTATCAGTTTATAGGCCTAATCATTATATTTATTTCATCATTATCATTTCCTAATTTAAAATTTCAACTTTTGATTTTTCAGCAAATGGTCAAGATAAGGGGCACAACTGTAAAAGTAACAAAAAAGAAAAACTGAAAGAAACAGCCCTACCGAATCAACCTATATGTTGGTAGGCCTAACTAGGCCCCTATCATACTGCCCTATAGGCCTACTGAATTCTTATAGTAGATAAAGCACTTCAGGTTAAAGGCTACTGTACAAACTACACCCTTCAACGAACTCATTGTCAAAGCTGCTTACAACCAAGATAGGATTTTAGTTACAGCATAGTCAAATCCGGGGAAGGGAGGAGGCGGGTGCAGATTCGCTTAGTGTAGGGTGAGCGTACAGAGTGGACTTAATTTCTGACTAGGCCTACCCTCCTCTCCCACCATTCTAATATGTTTATATCCTCTCCTCGACATTATATTCATCCCACTAAATGCCCACCAGAAGCACATAGTGCAGTTATAACATGTTAAAACAGAACAAAAACAAAAAATACCAATACCAACAGCATCATAAACTAAGCTCCTTTTTATTTGATTATTTTTTTACGTACGTTAAGTTTTTTTCATCATTTAATTAGGCACGGGTTTCTCGATTTTTAATATGTAAAATAAATACAAAAATCTTACTGCACTGAGAGATTCATGATATCAAAAAGAAAAGGGCACCCACCTCCCCCTAGTTGACAAATTCTAAAAGAAGTTAACAGTGTTTTTGAAGAGGGATAAATACTGGACGTTTTGCATTATTGGAAACCTTGTTTATGAATTATATGAATATGTCACATCTCCATTTTGATCATTGTCGGTGCAGTGTCCAGTATTTGAGACAAAAACAAGCACACCCATTTGGTTACCAGCAATACTTACTGAATGATTTAGTTTTGTTCACTGCTGCGTTGAACATTCCGCCAAGCTTCGACGTTAGATTAGCCTGCCTTAACATTGTAAAAGCCATTCCCGGGAATTCACCAATAGCACAATTGTCGAACATGTGGGCCATTGTAAAGCCTTGCTGTTCTCCATTCTCAACCATGCCACCCTTACTAGTTTCTGTGGTTTACAAGCACATGAACTTTCCAGTAATTACCACATAAAATACCACAGAGGTTCGCTCAGTAGTACTGCGTCTTGCTATATTGACTGCCCCTGTAAACCGCTCCGAGGGCCTGCAACGTTTCAGTTGTGTTTTGGTGCAGAGAACATGTGCACACTGTCCTTGTACTAGTGCCAATCCCAAAAGTGAGTTTGAAAGGGGTCTGTGTCAGATGTGGTTCTTCCCAAAGCTGGTCTATGAATAAATATCGGGAATAAAAGATATAGATCGCCGAGTTGAGTGCTACGGTGTTCGGCGTGCTAGCAGTGTTTTCGCACCGGGGCAGAAAATCGATGTCCCTTTATCCGTTTTTGCGTACTGCTATCCTTGGTGAACCGACCATGAATTTGTCCGATTTGGTTCACCTTAACTCAATAGAACGGTTCTTGCAAACCTATATGTACGATCCAATTATTCGCCAGTAACCTCGTCCGATTCTCTTCCCATCTTCAGATCTGCTTGTCAATGTCATTAAAAGTCCTAGTTGCAATATTTTACTCTATTGTATTGGGGTTAAGTTATGATTCATTGCTCTTACACAGTCTGGATTATCTGGATTACAGCTATTGAGATAAATAACGCTCAATGTCGTTATTGTGGGATGTTTGGGATTAAATGATTGATTCACAGAGTTGGAATAATAAAAGCTTAAAGATCAAGGCTATGTCCATACCTGATCGATTATATTCCTAGGGCATAAATCCCAGTGTTACGAGCATGCTGACTACTCACGATATCCGATACGAAAGAGAGAAGATCAATATTTTCGATCACAACGTTTAAACTGTTTACTCTGGTGTAACAACAGGGCTCCTCTTTTCAACACTAGAATAAAAGCATATAGGCTCCTGAGTTCTTGACAAACATATCTATCAATTATTCATAATATTATTATGTGGAGTAGCAAGCTGGTACGACATGATTCTGCTAACAGATCGAAGGAAGACGCGGTCTCGGTCACCCTACCGGCCCAAAGACATGAATAGCGATCGATTGAGAAAATTGGATTCTAAGATAATTCAATCATTACACTGCTGAAGAAATATCCGACAGCAAACCTGCCAACACGTCTGGAAAGATCAGTTGTGCCGTAGAGAAATCGGATTATAATGTGAAGTAAATCTGCTCCGGTCATGTCCAGTACCTGAGAACGAAGCCTAATATACACTTGCTCCCATACCTGGCAATTGTTCCAGCAGCTTAATTCCCTCCTCATTTCACATCATAGGGTATCCATGCCTACCGATTTCATTCCTCAGAAAAAGGACTATTATTCCCGCGAGAGATAAAATCTATGAAATATGTTGCTACCTACTCGGCTTTCCACACATACGTTTCAGAGTTGACGCATTACGTATCTCAACGCGCTGTAGGGTGCAGTTCACAGGGAGTTAGAGTGGGGGTCGAGTGCCATTTTCGAAAAGTAAACATATTTTCTCTCTGTCCTCTTAAGAGGAGACAACTGTATGGGTCAAACACGTTTCACCAAATACGTGTGTAAAAGGGTAAACATATATCATTGAATTCGCTTGAGGGTTGTATTTTGGCATGCTCTTTTTTTTCTGACGTCACGCATACTGGTACCTGTAAACAATTCCTACCATGTTATGAGAGTTTGTGGCCTCAGGATCTCGTGTTTACTAATAGTGTGTTTTTTCGGCAAATCAAGCGCGTGTTTTACGACATACTCGTAGATGCTAATTAATATATACTTGTGAAAATTTTGTTTATAAGGGGTAAAATCTAAGGAGGCTGTTTTTGATAAACGTTCGTATCCTACCTGATCTTTCCAAGACTGGCCTGCGGAATTTTTACACAACACAGCGACTATAGGGCACTATACATGTAAATTAATTCAGATGATTTGGTAGGCCTATTAGATAGCATTTGTGACACGAGTTTGCCGGGCGGACATGCACCTTTAAATACACCCGACATACGCCCAAAGCTCAATATCCGAACATTTAGAAAATACATCAGAGTCTGATTTGGGAATAATTAAAATTAATTGTTCTTTATAATTAATTTTAATTATTAAATTAAAATAGTTTCATTTTATACTGGTAGGCTACAGCATATACATATGGCAGGCCTATTGTTTATAAAACACAAAATACTCGGTCGATCGGGTTTTTGAAAAGCCTGTGCCCTCAATACATATTTCATAATCTTTAAACGTAAAAAAGAAAAAAATCCCCATCACGCAGTTTTGGTCCTATTTTGGGTTTTAAAAATTTCGTTGGGAGTTCCCCTTTGCTAAAAATAGGGAGGAATGTCACCGATAGAGTGCGTTGTACTCAATAGCCTTATGTTATTTGTCAAACAGAGAGTCACCTATCGTCATTTCACAGGTCATTATCACTTGGTTTCGACGCTTGGTGCATCTTTGCAGGTTGAAGACAGGTGAGTTAATGTCAGTATTCGCTCAACTGAAGTTCAGATTTGTTAAAATTGATCCAGTGCTGATGTAGTTAAAATCCCGGTTTCGATTCGAGTTCGGATTGAATAAAATGAAAGCAAGTAGGCCTACGAATATTTAAGCAACAGCGTAAACAAGTACTTTCGTTTCGTTTACCCTGCACTTTTTTCTGCATGATGCATATGTTCACTTCTTGCTGCTTTTTAAAACAACGGTTTAGCAAGGATAAAAGAGTGACCGTTTTGATTTGATAAATGTCGCAGAATGTCAGGTGCCTTCAACAGATCTGATCGAAAAAATTCAATAAGACCAAATATTTACCCCAATTGCCTAAATACTAGTTATAACAATGAAGCCTAGCCTGATTTGTGCGATACCATCTACGATAATCCTACAGCCTCCGTGCGTAGATCTACCATTTTCAAAATACGTCAAAAATTTAGCTTGAAACCGCTGGATTTCATACATGGCCACCGGAAAGGGATTTACGGGCAGTGTACGTACACCGTACGGACGTCGTACCCTGTACCAGGGCGAGTAATAGATTTTTTACAGATAGGCCTACTCAACTGAGTTGAGCCCTAAATGACCATCTATCTAGCTAGAGACATATCTGTGAATATCTGTAAAAAATCTATCACTCGCCCTGGTAGAGGGTACGGACGTCGCATGGTAAATGTAATCTAGGCTTAACCGGTGTTCCGCTGGCAATCTTCCGCTTACGAAGTCTTTTGAACATATATATGAAATTGCTTTCTCGTCTCGCTCGGATCGCTTACGATCCGGAAAGCAGGTACTTGCCAAATGTGTAGTCGTGGTGAATAACATCGGTGTATTTTACTACATATGTATTTGAGTAGTTTGGGAGAATTTGATTTTGAATTCGCTTGTAGGTAGCAAGCAAGACACATGCAGACGTATTTTAGAGAAAGTGTGGGCCATGTTGGACCAGTTACATCACACATTCTGAAAAATTAACTACTCCGCACGAAATTTTGCTGGCCGGTGGCTACCGTCCCAGACTGCCATGTGTCATTTTATCTTGATATAAACTTTAAATAACATGTCGGAGGGAGGTTCACTGCCGATAACACATGAGGAGGAGGGAGAGGGGAGTAATCCCGTCTTAAGTGACGGGCACTCCAGATAATCAGCATATTAGCGCTCGCCCGCACAACTGTTTCCATTTTCTTTCTTCTGACAAGCCCAGAGTACAAAATTCGTGAATGGGAATCATCTGATAGATAAGCCCAAAAACCTTTCCACTTAGCATAAAATCAAGCGAGATTTCGAGGTATTTGGAGGAAGAGTGGTGAGGAGAATGTTGCGACAAAAAATAATACATAAATAAATAAATGAATAAAATGGAACATAAAAGCTGACAGGATCACAGAATTGTCTTTTGCAATTCAGTACGCTTCACCAAGTTTTACATGTGACTTTTGTTTTGCTTCACAAATGGACATTTCAGGTGCATGTTTTGTATACAAAATATGTTATAAGATAAGAGTTTATTCGGCCAGTTATAAAAATCGGACATAATATTCTTCGGAGCAAAATTTGATAAATGTACAAAGTAAAAGTAATAAAATAAATAAATTGAGAATTAGATTTAAAGAAATAAAATAAAATAAAATAAAATAAAATAAAATAAAATAAAATGCACTACGACGTTACTAATGCTTTACCCGTATCGCCTAAACGTGAACCCCACCTACCGAGGATTCTTGCACGTTTTCCAATCACGTATAACGTCACGTAGAGCCATCAGTTTCGTTTTAGGTTCTCTTGGATGATTCACATTGTTATGATAAAGACACAAAGTTCAAATTAGGGTAGGGGGAGCAGTTGGCGTACGGATTCTCGATCATGTCCCCTTTTGAAAATGCCAATGATATGCAGATCGGCAGGTAGAACAAAACGTCACATGTTGTCATGCGGGTACAAGCAAAGAATTCTTATGTACTTCCTTGCACTTTTTTAATTACAGTAAAGAGTTGTTGAAAACGTCGCAATGGGTAACGAACTGAGTAGTCGGGAGCTTGGTAGTGATCTTGCCATGCTGGCACTGCTAAGAAGTTTGGAGGAGGCACGGATGGCACGGAGCAGTTCTGAACCTATAATGACACAGCATGGTTGGGACCCTGATGATTGTTCAGATAATATGGATGTGCTGGAAGATGGACTTAAGGTCAGGATATTCGAACTGGTTTTGTACTGACTGATTTGTTACTCTTTTTATGCACTCTTATCTGCTCGATCGGACTATCAATTCTTTTCAAATGTCTTCTCCTACACAATCATTTCAAATCTGATATGCATGATCTCGAGCAATGTTTCATTTAATCTAAAATATTTGGCCGAGTGAGAGTTTTAAAGTCTTAAAATTTAATCAGAATTATGTTATGTTTTACTGTAAGTGGCTTTAGAATGTGTAGTAGTTATGTGGCTTTTCCTAATATTGAGGCCTTTGATTAGTAATAAACATTCTAACCATCAGGCCATTTGGGACAATTTCTTATCAAGTTTCTTTAAGTATAAATCTTTTGAGAGGTTCACTGAAGGACAATATTAGTCTACTTTTTCAATCGTTAAATGTCATTTTGTGATATCTAGAGGTATTTCTGCATAATTAACCTCATAGCAGATATATACTTTGTTTTTGTCTTAGTTGAATTGCTGAAATTTGTAAAAAATTTGTAAAACTCTTTTACTATCCAATTTTCCTATCACTTTATTTACTCTGCTTTTTTTTTCTTTTTTGATATCTATATATGTAAAGTCAAAAAGTTTTTTTACTAGCTTCTCTTTGTAAAAATTGATGGTAAAATTGATACTCTTTCTCAAAACTCGGTATTGATCAATCTACCTTCAGGTTAGAAAAAAGGTTTCTAGAACTCTGTCACCCCTTTTACCAATCCCAGAGATGCGCACTGACGCCGTTCGTGGTAAAAAGAGTTACAGGAACGGCACCCACATCTGGCGTATTCATTGGCCAAAGCAGCACCGCGGCTCTCACGCAATGGTGGGCGTGGCCTCCACCCAGGCCCCTTTAAAATGCATAGGCAAGTGAGACTTGACATTTAATATGGAATATTTTTTTCGAAATAATTTTTTATCAGTTTTTTCCTATTTTGCTGACTGATAAATGAAAATAAGGATTAAAATCGTGTTTTAATAACTTTAAATTAACTCTTTGATGTCATTGTGACATCAGTTCATAAATGGAATTCGCCAGAGTAGCAAACAAAAACATATCGCCTATTCTATGTCATACGACTCCCATTAAAAGAGATATTTTGGATCTCCACATTTTCCAAATTATCGTCTGTAAAAGGGTAATACGCTCCACAAAAGACCCTCATGTCAGTTGCTAGTCACAGTAATGGTCTTGTTACGCCTGGCCTCTTCGTGGCTGTTGCCAGCGCTCTCAAGCGGCAAGGCATTTCTTGGGGGTAGGTTTTTAGAGTTCAATNTAACTTATTTTTACCTAGGTATACCTTCGAAACTGAAATATTCCATATTAAATGTCAAGTCTGTATATATCAGCACGTCCAGGATACTGGGTAACAACAATTGGGCATGTGATCAAAATTTCAACATGGCGCATATTTTGTGAGCACGCTCTCTGGTTAGAATATGTATCGTATTTTGCTTTATATTCATAAATTTTGGAAAACAACACTAAACATACAAAAATTATCAGGAAAGAGTACACCTAACTTCGCAGAGTTCGAAAAGCACGCTGCGATCTTGAATCGGCGGTTAAACAGCGATGACATGAAGTCGATTTTCGTGAGTTACACGTCAAAAACTGGGAACCGGATTTTACTAATTTAATTGGTCTCATTAATATTTATGTGACGGGGTCATTACGTCATCAGTGGAAATTTTCACAATCAACGCTAGGTCCTTTGGCTAAATCTGAACGGGGAACCGAAACTTCACGATAGCTGTGGCTTCGCTGTCGTGAGTGTCTGAAGGAAACGAAACATTGGGCTATAACATGTGTGATTACACGCTCAGATAACACATTGTTATTTTATGAAAAGCAGACTGTATTTCAGGTATTTAAATTCCAAAATTGAACGATTTGTATAGTTCACGTGTATGGGAGATACTCTGTACTGAAGTTGAAAACGGAAACGATGGTAATGCACAAAAACCCGTTTTCTTCAACCATCAAAATTCTTTAGTGTGTGAACCGTAAATGATCCTTGAGATAACCAAAAAACATGACAGTACTATTCTGAGAGTTTTCTTTTCCAAAGTGTACAGCTGCAAAACAGACTGGTATGTCTGTGTCCCAGATTTTTAAGCACTGTTTTTATTTAGTGTCATTTTCGGCCAAGAATTAAAAAGTTTAAAATACACAGCAATGTTTGGAAACACAAAATTGTTTGTTATAGTAAAACAAATCCATCCCCTTTCACATGAAAGCACACCCATTGTAATCCAACACATGGTAATATTTTGACAGGCATTCAAAGATGATAACCCATTGTTGTTATCCAGTATCGTGGACGTCCAGATAAGTAAAAGCACATCGTATTCGACAGAAATGTTATGGACTGTACTGATTATTCATATGACATAAGTGTGTGATTCACAGAAAGACAAATAGCTAAACACGCAAGTTCTGGTATGCTATGCCCTACTATTTTTTTGCTCTGGCATATAATATAACAGTTTGACGTGAATTTTGAATAAAATAATCCCATTTATACTTCGATTCAGGTTTCACACACTTGATTGGTTCCAACGACCAGTCTCTAGGCTGGGACATCGCACGGAATCTTTTGATCTATAACGACTGTACTATCAGACGTTATCCAGACGGTAAAATGCCTGGATTCGAAGCCCCAGAGGACATTACAGTTATTCTGAACATGGATACTGGTGTGCTGGGATTTAAAGGTGGAGGTGAAAACTACGGCGTAGCTCTGACTGGACTGAGGAGCATCAATCGACCGTTGTCCCCTGCCATAAGTGCCACTAAAGACGGGGCTGAGATTGGAATCCACTATTTAGGAGGCACAGGTGATATTAAAAATTATATAACTTATATTCTGTAATTAGAACATATATAATTATCAAAATTAAGCATCAAGTTTTTAATATTTATCTTATTGCTGCTTAGATTTTTGTCATCGATAATATCTTCAATCGTTTACAAATTACAATCCCAACGTTGCTCTATTTGTTGAAATTTGGAATTTGAAAAAACTCTTATTTAGATTCTGGTCCAACTGTTGGCCCTACACCAATCACAAGTCCGCGACCAGCATCTGCTGCAGGGGCATTCACCTTCCATAGTAAAGTGCACGGCAGTGCCGTCAAGTTTTTGAACAACTACAGAACAGCCGCACGAGAAGAGTAAGTGTATTCTAAGATAATATTGTTCAAAAATCAAACTTTATTCCACATATTAGAATTTTGAAAAATGTGGTGCATTCATAACTGCAAATGTCTGTCGCAGTGTTGAAGCCAAATCCATCCGCCCAAGCTGTATTGAACAAACGCGTTTCGTCTTACTATTGACCTACGTATGGCTCTGCTTTACTCTAAGTCACCCTACCTACCCTTTCCAACACCTACCCCTACCAGAACGAACCGATAGGATAACTTTAAAATATCTATACAATATTGCATGTTCTTAAGTAAGCATACTAAGGACTTGTTTTTTATTTATTTTTTCATCCATTGTTTTGAACTTTACATTCACCTTCACTGAATGCCTTAGATACGTTAAAAAAATTATTTAAACACTTTAATGTTTTCAAGTCCCCTCAACAATGACAAGAACGCAGTGGTGTTCACTTCTCGGCCCTTGGAAACAGAAGAACTCTTTGAAATCCACATAGACAAGAGAATCAAGGGTTCTGATAAACCTGGTTCCGTGGAAATAGGCGTTACCACTGTGAACCCTCAGGAGCTGAGTTCTGTCCCAGCCACCATGACTGACTGCAAAGTTGGTCAGACCTGGATGTACAGTGGAGCTGAAATGTTGCTGAATTCACTCAAAGTGGCGAACATGCCCAAAGACATCTATGAACTTCAGGTATCGATACACTCGTAGGTGGATCTGGGGGTTGGTGAGAGGCCAAAAATGAAGTGACCTCCCGATCCTTATGTGAATCCTCCAGTGTGCACTCTTAGGTTATGGGGAGACGGAAATAAAATGTCTTTTTTTTACCGAAAACTAAAAAAATTAATTTTCATTTCTTAAAAAAACTGCAGCAATTGCATTAGTCCCAGAATAGTACATGGCAGACAAGTTAAGCAGTAAATCTTGATATCTGTTTGTGAAAGCATTAATTGGCATTTTGAAAATTCTTATTCCTTCATTTAGACCGAAATTAAGAATTAGCAAAAGATTGGTCTTGGTTTGAACATAGAGTAATGGAATCTAGCAGTTAACATGGCCTTAAGCCTGACTTTTTTCTTGAATACGTTCACTTTTTCACTTAGTCAACTGGGAAGTTATCTAAACTGGGAGTGAAACGTGATGCTCAAGGGCGACTGGATATATTTGTCAATGGTGAATACATTGGCACTATTAACGACAGGTTCCCCACCACTATCTACGGAGTTGTGGATATCTACATGCAAACCGTACAAGTCAGCATCACAAGTATGTATTCTTCAAGTTTTTGTATGATTTCTGTCGCCATTGACCTGCATCAATGCATAACTTATCACTGACATGTGTGATAGGTTGAAAAGTAATAACCCTTCTACATATCTCTGTTTTTAGCTTAGTTTACCACGAGACTGTGCTTTGCAAATTGATAACCAATCTATATATTATTCTGAGCGATCTGAGTCTCTTTCATTTGATAAAGGCCCTAAGGTAGAAGCACCAATAGAAAAGGAAGAAGAACCTAGTGGGCAAACTCAAGAGGCTGCAAAGTCTACCTCTCCAACCTCTCCACCGCCTCCCCCAATCACATTCCGCAAAACTTGTGGAAAAAATGTAGAAATGTCAAGTGACCAGAAAACTGCAACCAGACGAAAGTAGGTTTAGAATGATACGTGCTTAGCCTTTTGATATTTCAAGAATGGAGAAATATGGGCCCTATGTATTAACTAAATAATTGAATTAAAATAACATTGGTATTCTTTATTTCATTCCTGGTATGGACATGACTACATTTTAAAACAGCGCTGTGATCACTATGATGCAGTAAAGAATTATATAGGCCTTTAGTCTTTGTAGTTTGTGCAGTTATTCAACAATTAAATTACTACTCTCTTTCGTTTAAAACTTCCAGTTATATGACCGACTGCGATAATGGGATAGTCCTTAGCTCTAGACCGCTGCAATCCGGCGAAATGTTCGAGATCAGAGTGGATAAGACCATCAGCAAGTGGGACCACGAAGGCCTCAAAATTGGTCTTGTTGATTTACATTCTGGTTTTGAGATCCCCCGCACGCTACCTGGTCAAATAGCTGAAGTCACGTGGTCGTGGGTCGGAGACGAGGTGTTTCACGACAGAAGAGTAGAGAAAAAATTGAACATGAATCTAAACAGAGTCAAGGTAAACTTATCGATTTAAGTACAGTATTTTGAGAAAACAGCGCATTCGGTTAAACACATGAATACTCTGAAATTAGCTTTGAATGACAACTTTTTGATTGTTGTGTTTGACGTTATTTCCGTCTTTTAATTTGTTTTGAAACAGAATGGAGATAGGGTCGGTGTGATGAGGGCAAGCGATAACACCGTTCACTTTTTCTACAACGGTCAAGATTTCGGGGCGGCTGCAGATAGAATCCCTGAGAAAGTATTTGCAATCGTAGATGTCCATGGTTGCACTTTTGAAGTGTCCTTAAACAGTGAGTTAAATTTACTATTTGATGTTCATTACACCAATTTTTATTTTGTGTATTGACACTCTAGGTGACTGTAAATATTTTTGGAACTTTGCCTGTCTATGCCATGGCTGTCAAAAATGTTTTTCTTAAGCGCCATATCACATTCCATTTTACTTATAATTTACTGAAATATTTTTTGGAAGATGCAGTTAAACGCCAGTCATTATAAACGACTATTTTCACAAAAGTTAACTCAACTTTTAATAAGATAATTATTTCTTCTTTAATAATTATCTTCATAATTTCTTTATTCGATAATTAAGTACATCATTGTAAAATGAGCACTTCGTTTTTTTTTTTGTTTATTTCATTGTTTTTAGTGCCCGACACAGAAATGGAAACCAAACAAACGGCGCCTGGGCCTAATCCCAACTCCGAAGTTAACACCGCTTTGATGAAAATGAAGCAAACAGTGGAGTTACTGAAGATCAAGAATGAAGCATCTATAAAGAAAGTGAAACAGATGGCGCAAGAAAATTTATTGGAACTTTATCGGAGCCACCAGGACCCGTTGCTTCGCAAGGCGATGGGTGAAAAGTTCACAGAAATGCAGGGGGAAACACACATCGTCGACTATCTAAAGTTCCTGCGTGAGTGCGGCCTAGAAGTAGATTACATCCAGGAATGCTATAGCACACTGCGAAAAATTTGCGTTTGGTACAGCAATGATTCCCTGAAGTTCGCTCGCGCTCTTGGGGAAACTGATTTATTATCAATTGTGGTATCCGAGCTACAGAAATACAAGAACAAATCTTACGAAACTGACGAGGTAACGCTAAACTGTGTAAAAATGTATACTTAATATACTTTGTAACATCACACAAGTGATCGTCATATAAATGTACATGAAAGATTTTTGTTGAAACCCGTAACTATAGTCTTCATAATAATTTTAGCATAACCATATCCTTTATTGCATTTTTAGAAATTGCTGGACGTGGTGAAAACTGATCTTATTCTCCTACATAACTGCGCCAAAGTTACTGAAAACCGCGGTGTCATAAGAAGGCTGCAAGTTATCGACGCCATCCTGCCCTACCGTAATAGCAAGATCAAGGAATTGAGCACTCACGCCCTGATGGCCCTCTCCTACATGGTTGCCATTGATGAACACCATTACATTCAGGCAGACGAAAATTCCATCGCTTTCATCTTACAAATCCTGGAAGAGGCATTCAGTAACAAAACTACCCACATGAGCGAAACTGGTTACCATGTAGATGAAGTCCTGGTCGGACTGGCCAACCTTGCCAAGAACAAAGGGAACCGAATAAATGTTGTTAAAAAACAAGGTGTTAACACATTTGTGAAAATCATGAAACTTGGCCGACCCAGTGAGCAAGAGTGCGCGGCGATGGCGTTGTTGGAAATGGTGGACGACACAACGGTGCAGCACATTGCCGCAACACCAGGTTTACATGGGGTTCTTGCAACTATGAAAAACAGCCCAGTGGAGGCAGTCCGACAGGCCTCAGAAAGACTGTTGCTCAAGTTGCCTTCGCAGGACTCTTTTGTCCAGATGATGCCAGGTGATTGAAAAATCTTTAATGACTTTTAATAATGTGAATGTGTTGATGGAGTTCATTTATTTGCTTATAATGAAAAGTGTATTACAAGAGAAGCAGACATTAGTTCTGATCGAGATCAAGAATTTTGATATTTATTTAAAGAAATACATTTCAGATATGCCGAAACCAACTGCACCTAAAAGAAGAAAGTGTGACTATAAAGAGATATGCAACGCTTACATGAAAACCCTTAACTTAAATGGCAAGTATCTCTCTCTCTCTCTCTCTCTCTCTCTCTCTCTCTCTCTCTCTCTCTCTCACACACACACACACACAAACGCGCTCGCGCGAAATGTAATCCGTTACAGATATCTAATGAACTTTTCTCCCATAGATGCGTTTTTCGACCACGAATTTGACCGGTGCTACTGCAGCGTCTGTCACACAGACCGTGGAGATGACCTGTATTATACTAGGGGAGACCCTCCCAAAGATTACGGTATTCCTGCTGGCTGGTGTAGATACGCTTTGAGGTGAGAAATAAAGAGCGTTAAATTTGATATGTAGAGTTAAAACAGCAGCATGGGAATAGCATAACAAAAAAGATGTCTTGTTTTTCCTGTCGTTTGTTAATACCTATAAGGTTGTCAAATAGAAAGCACATCCAGTTTTCCTCGCACCGTTTTCCTGCCAGATAATGGGGCTTGATTTCCGGATTGCTGTCATCATACTTTTGCCATCTGCATGCTCACATTTACTTTAATTTTTTTTCTCTACAAAGTTTGCCTGCAAAAGCCAAAGCCATGAATGTTTTAGAAGCCTGGCACAGAGCTTACCATGGGACCAGGAGCACTGCGGTTGCTAAAATATTACAAGTGGGAGAACTTTTGATGCCAGGTTCGTTTTGATTGAATATGTTGTGTTCAAATTTTATGAATCACTCTTTAATACAACAAAAAGCAAATTTTGTCTTTTACAGGTTATTAAATACACCTCCGTATTGTTTTTTTGTTGTTGTTGTTGTTGCTTTGATGCCCTCGTCTTATTAGGGAAAAATGAATTTGAAACAACGCTACAGGTGTAAAACAAGAATATGAAAAAGATGAATCAACACAAACCCCTTCATTTACCACATTTCTTAGTAGAAAAAGGGGTACACTTAAAATCTATTTACTCATCTGCGCTATGAAATTGCAGTTTATTTTGTCCCCTTAAAAGCGTAAAATTACATCTTGACTTTCTTATAGGTGACACTGCTCTTGGCGGAGAAAAAATAAGTGTGTGCAAAGGGCATTTCACAGAGGAAAGGAAGCCAGAAGGATTCAACATCAAGAAAATCTTTGTATCGCCCAGCATCCGCTATGCAGGACATAGTGCTTATGCTATGCCGCACAAGTAAGGCTTTCGTCCCGACCTTTGATATTTTTTACATCTAAAGACAGATTTTTGATGGCTTCGTACATTAAAAGTCAAATAAAGGAAGCGAGTTCAATTTTATTCATTGTAAATTTTCTAAGAAAAGAAATTTTTGTTTTCAATCATCTGTCCTGAAGAAGTACTGGTAGAAGGCAGTGGATCAGTCAATGTATTTTGAAGGAATATGTGCTTTTTTTACAGGTACAAGGATGCTACAACAGAAAAGAACTACGTAGCTCGCGTTGCATTCCAAATCTGCATTCGCCCGGATAGTTACGTTGTAGGTGACCAAACCATTGGAGCCCTGAGCCAGATAGACCCAAAATTTGATAACCAGGAAATAGAATGGGCGACAGAGGAGAGAGGTAGCACTGTCCTCTATGGCCTGCTAGTGAAGTTGGAAGAGGAAGTCAGCGCTTGAATAAAGATGCAATGTGCAAGAGCAATGTGGTAGCGCCACCTTGTTCAGGATTGGTTTGAGAACAGTTCACAACAGCAATACTAGAACTTTATCAACAGTGATTTTGTTTAATAAAGCGGCTTCAAACTAGCAAATGTGGTAAACTAGCCTGCAATTTTTGTCTTTGCTTTAAAAGTTACAGCTGAAAATGTTACCTTAAAGGTTGCAGCTAAAAAGGTTACATTTGGCGTATCAGTTTATGCCGTGAAATTTTATTAATCACGCTTAGAGTTGCACACAAATTAATAGGAGCATTAAAGATGTGTGGCCTCGTGAAAATATCTGTATTGGCACACACGTATTAACTCATACTCATGTTATGTGTAATTCAAGAAATTTTTATTGTGTTATTCAAAACTTCAAATGCTCTCTCAATTTTTAATTATATGAAAGCTATGAAAAATGATGATTGTTTCGTTGTTTTTATTCATGAATTAATACAAATGAATTTCAAACCCTTTTTATAAAACTGCGGTGCCCGCCATATATCGCCTTGTAAGATATCGTTGAAAAAATTCTAAGTGTAAAGGTATCTCATCTGGGATTTTCCCGCCAATTTTCCTGACCAATCAGAGGCCTGGATAGAGGTATAATAAAACCCAATAGTCTGGAAATAACCAAAAACGAATCTTTTTATCAAAGTTATCTAAAGTATATTTCTTTGCATGCGGTTAGCTTTTCTGACGATAAATGAGACAAATTTGCAGGCTAGTGTGTTTTTAAACATGATATTCATCAATTATATATTTGTATATACAGAAATTAAGACGCCACGTTTAGCAAGGGAACTCGGTTGTTGGCACTTGGACTGGTTGTTTTCGTGTTAGACGTTTGACTTTCTTGTATACCGCTATGCACGTATGTTTAAGAAAACGGTCATATCTGTATAATTTGTTTTACGAGTTGAAGAGCACCATTTGGAATATGGAATGTTAACACATTAACAAAGCAATTTTAGGACATTAGTGGTAGTGATCTTCTGATTATTTATTGTAAAAAACATCTTTAACATTAAAATATATTTGCAACCGAGAGGTTGATGTCTTATTAATATGTGCACTTGTTGTAAGGTTTACAATGTATATTCAAACGAATAATGGGTTGAAAAAAGGCAAAGATTTGTACTTGAAAAGTTTGAACACAAATAACACTCAAATCTGTCTTTCCAAAACAATGTAATAAATAAATAAATAATTAAATGCATCCTCAACACAATTACCAATAATGTGGTCAACCGATAATGTTTGTTTGTTTGTAGCAACTTCCAGTACACTGACGTAAGCTTGCTGGGCTCTGTAAAGATTGACAGAAGACGTCTTGTGTAATCTCATTTGTCGTCATGTCCACGCACATAACTTGCCTTGTCTGCACTGAAAGCTGACCACAACTTGCTGGACACTGAAATATAATAACATAATGTCAACTTGAGCTTTAAAAAAACACATATTTCCTTCAAAATACATTGACTGATCTACTGCCTTCTACCAAAAACCACACACGGTGCTTGCCTAGACGATGCAGCCCCAGTGCACTCTGTTCAGTTACAGAACTGCCGGTCGCACATTGGAAAATCTTTAGAAAAAGTTGCGTGCGCTGCGATAACATCGACTTCATAACACCCTAAGTTTTGCAAAATTTACGGTAAGTTAAGACACTTCTAGATGAAAAAAATCCGTATGCTATACAGTTTGAAGGGATGTTTTATGGTAACAGAGACAAATATCAGTATCTATGCCGAATTGTATCGATTGTTGCAATAGATGATCAAATATATCACGTTTAAATTCTTGAATCGAACTAGACGAAATACAAGGTCACATCAGGGGGCTCAGGATAA